CGCGGGGGAGGAGCTAGGGCTTTCCTCAAATGAGAAAACTCCAAATCAAGAATTCAAGCATGGCAGAATACAGGTAGAAGGCAGAATACAGGTAGAAAGCTGAAGAGTCGGTCATCTCAGCTTGCAAACGAGGTGCACCCCCTTCGCCACATGAGGAGTCCATTTTGGATGCTGGGAAGCGAAACCACGAGGAACCCGGCCACAAGTTGTCCAAAACAGTACTTCCCCAAAATGGTCCCATTTTTCTTCCTCACCGAAAAGGGTGTCCCAGAATTTTGTTGAACCAGGTCAACTCTCGTCCACTGTGTGTCTTCTTTGGAGGGCATCCTTTGGATTGTGAAACCAAAAGGAAGGCACCCATTTTGCGGGTTCATCTTGAGACAAGCCCACTTCGGATTCATTCACTTTGAATCAAACCGGCTGTCCCTAGTGAACAGGAATCGGGTCCTTTCTCCGGGGTGTTCGGATTACACCAAAGTGCACGTTACCGGAAACGACCAGGGCGCAAGTGGTTTTCGGTCCATATCAACAGCAGGGCTTGCGGCTTGCTCTTCCCGCCTGAGGCTGGCTGGCCTCTCGGCTCACAGATTGGAGAGTCAGCTGAGTCAGAAACCTCCCAACTGGTCGCTTGAACGGTCGTTTTGGCTGTGGACCGCATCAAGTTGTTTCCTTGTCTTGGGGTACCCTCTTCGAAAGGGAAGAGGCAGCAAACGATACTTTTGGGGTACCGCTTTGTTTGGCACGGTCGAGCGCAGACAGTAGGCAGACTGTAAAGGGGACGATGCACACGTACCAACTTTCCACTCACAAATGCTGGGTTGCGACTCGCCAACATCCACAGTATGGGACTAGAAATCTTGACTGCGGCCCACATGCACTGATTCGCTGCATCCCACCGAGACCGTGCTTCTGCCAGAATCATGCCATGTCACCCAAGAGTCAGGGTATCGGGTTCCCCGTTTTTCTTTTAGCAAGATACTTGCAGAACACGGGTGTCCTCTTTAGTCAGTTTGGTTGAACATGGAGGGTACAGTACTGGTTTCAGCTCTTCTGGTGCCGTCTATTTTCGATAAGGACGGGCTTCTACACTTGTAGAGTCCCTTCAAATGTGACCCCGGCAAATGCATTTCAATTCCGTGCCAGACAAGCTTAGCACGTCACCCTTAGAATCCGAATTGGTCCTTCTTTATCCATGAGAAAGGAGCGCGCTTTCAATACTGATAGTTTGGTTAGAAGGGTGTCTTTTGAGTTTCCTTGTTGTTGCGATGTTCAGAGAACCCTGGCATCCTTGGGGGATTCGGCGAAACCTCAACGCGGCTGAACCCTGAAATGCATTGTGGCCTCAAGTTTTCCTTGCTCAAACTCGCTTCGACATGTGGAGCTTCCATGCTCAGCTCAGGAGGTGGTTCCCTACTTCCATGGGTAACCAAAGCGTGGGGTCGCTCGACTTTGAGGTGGGCGGCATCTCCCTGGTGCTGATCTACGGCGCGGCCTTTGTGGCGGCCTTGGCCAACCCCCTCACCAAGCGCCGCATGGAGGCGGCGATAATTTTTTGCCGAAGGGCTGGAGCTTCGGCGCTGCATGTTGGCGTGTGCCTCTTGGCTTGTAGGCTGGGTGGTTGCTTTGTTACTCCCTTTGACAGGCGCTTAGATGCAAGGATCAACCAAAGCGAAGCATGAGGCTCCAAGTTGCCAACGGGCCATCTCTAGTGAGAGAAGCTGGCTCGCCAGCCGTTTCGGTTTCGAGGTGTCGCTGGCCCTATCAGAAATTCCAGGGTTGCTCCGAGCCTTGAACAAAAAGATACGAAAAAAGATACGAAACCATGCGAGCAGAAACTGGTTGGCTTCCTTTGGTGTCTCTCTCTTACGAGGTCTTTGGAACAAGCGTTCCAGCGTTTCTCGCATCGATCCAAACGCAGGTGAAGGCCGAGGTGGATTCCTTGAAGTGAGCGAGGCCGCTCCAAGTCTTGAGAGGTTTTGGCTTAGACTCGCACGCACTCGGGTTTGTGTGCTTTTGGAGGGGGCCCTTCCAACGGTTGAAAAAGGAAACCAAAAGCAACAGCACTTTGGGGGACTTGAGTTTGACACACACTCGTGTAGTAGAAAAGGATAAATCTGGTTGAAGAATAGGGGGCATCCGGGAATCCTGCACAATTCGGGTAAACGCACATCCCGCAATGAATCCGCACGGTTTTGCTTAGATCCGGGTTGACATTTCTCGAGTCGAAGCTCAGCGGTGCGGATGTCCAGTTAGAGACTGTGGTCGGAGACTGGACCCATTCGCGCCTTTGCGGGCGTGTCCTTTTTTCCCCGGGCAAAGGCTCCGTGGCGGCTCCGCAGAGCGAAAAGGGGAGGTTGCGCTGCTGGGAGGGCTGGATCGATTAACCGCAAGCGAGCGAGGGAGGGAGTGAGCGAGCGGGCAGAACAGAGGTGAAGCTTTCCCTGATTGGACACCCTGGAAACTCCAGCCTTGCTCGTGCTTAGTGGCAACGAGGGCTTCCGACACTTCCAACTAAACACGGATCCTTGAGGAAATGCTTGCCGCGCATTTCCACGATCAAGAAGAACAAGGCGTGTTTTTTGGGGCCTGCACCCAGCCTGGCGCCGCAGCCGATTTTTTGCCCAAGTTCTGCCCGCGATCGACCCTTTTGCATCAATGGCACGAGGCGGCCTCGGACGAGAACGTGGGAGGGAGCAGCCGAATCCACTTGGCTGCGGGTCAAAACCAATGGTACCAATTTGCACCACCCATTTTAGTCTATTTCATTGGGGATTGGCATGCTCACTGGGGGTATATACGGGATTTTGACCCATTCCCACTTAAATGCGGTTTGGACTTTGGGAGGGCTTCTACACTATGTAGGCGGTTCGGACCTGTGCGGTCAGTTTGTTCGTTTTTTTCTGCGACCCTTGGCTGCCCCAAAGTCCGCGCAGTCGCTCTGATGCTTTTGCCTGCACTCTTTGTTAGGCAGGGGATTCACTTCTCTTGGAGCCAGTCCACCGTTTGGATGATTCTGGGCCTTTTTGTCGCCAAGGGGGGACCCCCGCAATATTCGGTCTCCTTTCGGCTTCCATTGAAAACAGCCCGTGCAGTACGGCTTCCCAGGCCCTTTTGGGAAAGCAGTCTTCTTCCCCGCACGGACCCTCTGGCATGATCGTGTGGGGCTCATGCGAAGCTTCAGATCATCCAGGTTCGGTACGAGCTATGCCACGCCAAAGGCGTGGTTGGCCACATTGATGCAACTTCAGCTAGATTTTCTAGTGCTCCCCAAGACACGGAAACCCTTTTTCAGTTGGAATGGAAAGGAAAGGTACGGCAACGCTTCTGTTCTTTTAAATGGATCTGTGAGGATCACTCATGTCAGTCATGAATACACAGTATTCATGCAATGTTTTGCTGTGTCTTGTCTGTGGAAGCGCCCCAAGAAAATAAGACATTACCGGTACACATTTTTTGCGACCTTGCATTTTGGGAGCTTGCGACCGAACAAAAACCATGAAGAAGGTTTCTTTTATCGTTGTTTCCTGTTGGACAATTATTCTGATTCAAAGCCACCAGACATCTAGCAGAATCCTCCCCATTCTGTCCAGATATCCTTCTCTTCACAACCCATGGCCACAGGAATTCTGGGCTAAGAAATGGGTGTGATGTTTTGGATGCTTCAAAGCAAAAACGGAACGCCACACACACACACATAGACACGCATTTTGGAGGTCCCTCAAGGACAAACCCCAAAATCCAATCAGCGCATCGGAGGCTCCGGACTCGTCTTGCTGGCCCTCGCGGCCTTCTTTGCGGCCCCGGCGACTGGGCAAAGCCCTGGACTCTCTGGTCGTGTCCCCTCTGCTTTCCTTGCAAAACGATCCCGCTTCCCTTTTTTTTGTGCACCCTCAACAAGAACAACACCCTGAAGGCTGCTGAGGGTAGGAACCCTTGGACTGAATTTCTGGCTGGCATCTTGGGAATTCATTCAGAAGGTAGCTGCGGTTCTGAGGCGTTCCTGGCCCCTCGCACCTCGGGTCCCACCGTGGAGGCGAATCGAGGAGTCGCTCGAAGATTTGGATCGGGCTGGAGATACAGCATGAAGACTCACATTCTGTTGTACTTCTTGTTCCGCAGCGTTGACATATTATGTTCTTTCGCAATTTGGAATCTTGTATGCCTCTCCACCGCTTCGCTTCTTTCTTTTTGTGGGGCCCACCCTCTCTCCGATGCCAACCCTCCATCAAGGATCTGCAAACACCGACCATTCTTTCACCCCGAAAACCAGTCGGGCACGGGACCACCCCTTCGTGGAAGAGGTGGATGGCCGGGTGGCGGCCATCGCGGCGGGGCTGGCGCCTTTGGCGGTGCAGCAGCCGGCCCACGCCTACGACAGCGTGGTGGCCATGTTGCAGAGCCCGGGGGCCCGGCCGTGCAAACGCAGACTGAGGCTGGGGTGCTTGGAATTCAAGCTGCTGTTCAAGGTTGCCCGATTTCTTGCATGCTTCTACTGTTTTGAACTTTGGACGATTTGGACCTCTGCATGAAATGAGGGGGGACATCCAGGAATTGACACTTCTCGCTGGCAAACGGTTGTTTACCTAAATTGGCATTGCCAAACCAAAGCCCCCGACTGCCTCGCTGATGGTTCCGGGATCCAAAATGGGCCGCTTCCAGGGCCTCCTCCAGGGCCCTTGAGGTCAGGGTTCTCGATTGGAGGGGTGAAAAAAGGCTTGCATGGGGGGCAGGGGGGGGGGGGGTGTTGACTCTTTTCTGCGAACCTGAAAAATGAATCAGACAGACCATACTAATCAGAGGACCCCCCTACAGAAGGGATCAAAGAGGCTTGCCACCCCTGATCTTTGCAGTCTTTTGATCTGGATTCATTGGCATGACATCGTCCGAAGTGCCCTCTTCTCTGGTGATTGAAACTAAATCCCCACCCCACAGAAACTCAGAACCCCTCACAATGCAACCACGTTGAGGGACCCAGTGCATTCATCCACGCTTGAGCTGAGGCTGGCTGGCCGCTCGGCAAATCGACAGGGCGGCGTCCCCGTTTCGTGGGGGTTCGTCACTTTTGGAGAAAACATCGCCCTATCAACAGGTGACCCATCCGGGGCCAGCATTACTTGGGAAACCGAGCAGTGTGTGTGTGTGTGTGAATTGGAGTCTTTGGGTGATTTGTCATGCAGACTGGATGCATGCCTTGATCTTGGCTTCACAAAGCAGCCTCGAAGATTCGTTCCGGGGATAGCTCAGTTCTTTTTGGACAATATCACGATTCATCCAGGTGAAATACACGCTGCGCATCAACTACCAAGCTCTGGGGTCATGAAGTTCGTCACTTGCTGGGCTCCTGATTTCCCGATGTCCGGTTTGGGAATCATATCACATGGTGGGTATTGTTTGTCGGATGACTCGACACTCTTGATGCCTTTTGGATTGCAGCCCGATTTGGTTTGTTTGTCAAGCAACCTGGGTGCTCCAGGTTGGATGCCTTTACGGCCCAGACATTCTCTGGTTAGCCGAACGTGTGAAAACCATGAACTCCATTTATGGCCACCAGGAGGCCTCCAAAGAATCCACTCCACTTGGTAATGCCCGCGACCGAATGCCCAGATCCGGGCCCAGATCTGGGCCCAGATCAGGGGTGAAGGAACCTCTGGGGGCCTTCAGGTGGGCGGCATCTCCCTGGTGCTGATCTACGGCGCGGCCTTCGTGGCGGCCTTGGCCAACCCCCTCACCAAGCGCCGCATGGAGGCGAGAGACGATCGTGTTTCTCAGCTTGCCTTCGCAACGAAACTGGCTGGTGGGGCAAAATTTACTTTGAAGAAACAGACCCTGGCCCCATTAATGGGACATCCGACAATTTAAAGCACTAGCTATTGAACCCCCCTGAGCATATGAATCGTTCCTTCGCTTGAGCCCGGTGGCCAAGTGCTTTCACCAAACTTTTGTGGCTCCAGCTTCTGGAAGGGTGGCCGGGTATCAGTTGCTAATTAATGCGCAATGCTGATGATGCAAGGGATGCAGCCAGCATCACCAGCATCACCAGCATCATCTGCCGGCGTCATATGTCAGCACCAGAATCCCTTGGTTCTTCTCGCAAAAGGGTCTTCGGTCATCCCTCCCGATGGGCAGCACCTCATGTTTTCGAGGGTGTCATGTAACATGTTTGAAGCGAGCAATGGCCCCAGGCTAGACAATTTCTAGTCAATTTGGACAACCGGGCTACTTGGCAAGACTGATGAAGTTTGTTTTGACACATACCCAGTGTGTTGAACTGGGACCACTTCTTCCAGATGGTTCAAAGGCGAACATATTTCACGAGGCCCATCCGTTGTGATTGGCAGGTGAAGGCCGAGGTGGACTCCATGAAGTGAGCGGACTCGCCACGGTTCAGGAGCCTCGCCCGGTGGAGCACGGAGCTCTGGGGGGAAGCCGCAGGTCCAGTCGACTCGACTGGATCCGTGGCATGGGCGTTTTTTCCTCGGAGCCCGAGAGAGCTCGTGGAAGAAAATGAGCCGGCGGCATGAAGCTGTTGGAGAAGGATGTTAGCAGACCGGTTAATGCAGCTTGGAATCTGGAAGTTTACAGCTGAGGATTGGAGCTTCCAAATTCACGGGAATCACCCTGCATATCTTCAGGCGCCCTCCAAAGCACCTTGCTGCCCCAAAAAAGTCTAAGGCTCACCAAGGCCTCGCTCAAGGCATGCTTGGGGACAACATCAGCGGGGGGGAGGTCGTTGAAAGGTGGGGTTGGGGGGGATTCTCCGGTTTTTGGGCGGTTCCGCGCAGGTTCCGTCTGACGGCGGACAGCGAGTGCCGCGAGCCCAGCTGATTGGCTTGGGATTTGAACAAGGTTCCTCCTGAAGCCAAGACAGGGAGGAAAGACTCCGCCGCAAAGCTGGGTGGGACACATCCGTTTGCAATAAGTTGTAGGCGTTCTTGCACGACGGAGGCGCTTGCTTTTGGGTTTCGACCCTTCAGAAGGCATAGGGAATGCCATTGTTTTCTTGGCCGTTTTTGTCGGTCAGACACCTTGCAACAGAGTCCCCAAAGATGGGTCCAAAACCCGGGCGATCTTTGGAACAAGAGGGACCTGTGACGCCAAAGCGACACAACTTAGGAACTTGAATAAGTTTTAAGAAACGGGTTCCGATCGACACCACAGGACAGTCATGTGTAGCATTCTAGAGCCCATGAATTGGAACCCACCCCGGTGACGCAAACTAATGCCAGGCGCTTAACCCGAATCACAATGGTTGTCCAAGCATCAAACCGGCTGCTTCGAGACTTCCCCAGCTGGCGGCCTCGCCAAAACCATTTGCCAGAGGTTCGGTGCAGGGTCGAATTGGGAGGGACTTGCCAAATTCTGCACAAAACAAATTGAGGACTCATGTTTTTTTGGGGTAAACGTCATAGGTCATATGTTGACCATGGGTAAACATCAAAAGGAATACATCACGGATTTCCTCCTCCCTTTCGGAGCATTTGTGGCAGATGGGTAGGTGCCTTTTCTGGTATTGTATGTTTTATGCATTTGCCTGATCATTCTTCAGAGGGGAGGAGCATCAGGGCTTGGGACGTTTTGTAAGGCCGGCACCAACAAACTTTTCAGCAGCACCGTGATTTGGGGGTAGATCCGGGCGACTGGGGCCCAGGGCATGCCGGAAGTCGCCGGGAGCCCGAGCGAGAGTCAAAAGGTGTTGCAAGGAGGGTTTTTTGGTGTAAGTGGGACACACAACAAGGGCCATAGGAGACTGAGAGCGGGCACCGAGTTTTTTGTGTGTGCTCAAAACATGACGAGCTCACCAGGTGTAGCCATTCTGAGAGCCATGATCAAGGGTATTTGGTGGAGGTTCCATATTCGGCAGTACTTTCGATGCCCCAGATGTCTAATGTTGGAGCACTCTTGGCACTCTAGACTCTAGATCCAGACCCTGGCAGACATCTACAGCAACCCTGTCGAGCGATGATATCCTCGAAGCTGGGGGTAGTGTTAACATGTGAAGCGGGGTCTTCAGAAATCAGAATCGTTCGCCGGTATGCTAGTAATCACCACCTTGACACATCTCAAAGAACATGCGCGTCATCTTTCGCAGAGCCCCTTCAACGGTAGCGTCGGGATATTTGCTTCTCGATTTCACTGGCAGCTTTTTAAGATTCTCCCCGCAATGGATGGAACACACATTGCCAGCGGAGTATTTTGCTGCTTGTTCAAGGTCAGCGATTTCCCTCCTGGCTTGTGACCTGACCACATAAACTAGTATCACATCTAGAAATTCAAATCGCCATTTCTTGTGGTTTGAAGATCGACCCTTCATGTTATGTTCAAACCTTGCACGCGTTGTATAATGTTCCCCAGTGAACATCCCAATCCCAACTAAAATAGGCCAAAATGGGTGGTGCACCTATCTCAACATGGTACCATTGGTTTTGACCCACAGCCATGTGCGTTTGCAATTTCTCTCATGGACGTGCCACTTGTATGCGCGTCAAATGATGGCGTTGGCCTGCCCGCCTTTTCAGGTGGCAGGCGCAGAGGACCCCGGCCGGCTGCGACTGACTGGCGAGTAGCTTCCCCATGGTGAGACATTGATGTTGGAGGAGTGTGGAAATTGCACTTTTTTTGGTTCCTTGCTGCCAACTATTGTGATTCCAAGGGAATCCCTTGGAAGTGGTAGAGTAGTCACGGAGATGGAACTTTGGGATCGCAGAAAGGCCCCCTTTCCACAACCAGGTTTGTAAGTTCTAAGAAGACCTGACGCCGCCTGGGGCGCTCGAATCATAGCATCCTCGGAAGGGAACGCGGGACCTATGGTGAAGGTTCCTTTCACTTGTGTTTGGCTGGTGAATGAGTATGATTCACCTAGAGGAGTTTGAAAAGACACTACCCGCCTTCATTGGTAGCGCCTGGTTCACGTACAGTGCCCCAGATTCATGCCCAAAACTCCTGCATGTCAAGTGCGATGCTGATGTCACAATAAGATTCAACTTCAATTAGACTTGAGCCACTAAATGACAAAGTAATGAGCCAGGATGGTAGTTTCTTCTTTTCAAAGTCTGTTAGACTTTTTTTGGGGGGGGAGACCTTCCGAAAAGAAGAGGATCCCCAACACAAATGGGAGAAGTCCGGCTCGGTTAAGAGCATGTGCTCGAGGACACCAAGCTGGGCCTTGTGCCCCAGCTCTCCGATGGCTATGTCCTTGTCAAGGAGTTCTGTGGGGTTTAGGGGTTTGGTCTAGGGGCCTGGCAAACAGAGGTCAGTGCGGGAAATCTGGGAGAGGACAGGTCAGCTACCCTCCCACCAACTTCCATGGAAGTGCACCAGGCCCCTTTCCAAGAAGCCTGTGCACTGCCGCGTTTGCTCGGAGACCTGTGGGTGTCTTACATTGACTGAGGCAAGCATTTCATCGGCTCTGAGGATCAAATGACACACGTGGCTGGGTCAAAGATCAAAGGGAGGGTCCTCCATTTCCAACAAACCCTGCACCCTGACATCTCCAGAGTCTGGAGGCAGAAGATATGAGGAGTCCCCCTTTGGCTAAGATGGAAGTCGCCAGGTAGCCCTTTAAAGGGAGAGTTCTCTGGTGATCAACTCCGGTTTCCCAATTGGTGAGGCCAGGTTTCTTCGACGTATTTGGGTGCTTTGTACTCATGGAACTCGAGGATCTCATGCGTCAATTGGGAAGGTGCCATGAGCTCTCGCCGGGCGGGGGCCCGCCTTTGTTATGTAAAAAGGAAGTCAACTGGGGCCAGGGAAGGCCAGACAGTCCAAGAATAAAAGGCGCGGAGATTTTTGCTCTTTCGATTCTTTGCATATCGGGTAGACCACCCCCAATACCACTGTGCTGTTGTTGGTTACATCGTTCGCGCGTGTTGCACCAACACATTTGTTTTTCTTCTGGCCTGCGAACAGTGGTGATCAGTTGAGGGGGGACCCCCCAAAATGGTGGTTTTCCTTTGGGTACCACCTTACAAATCGGGGAACCAAGTCAGGTCTTCCGGGTTTTGCTTGCGACCTTAGCCGCTCGAGGACGTCAGCAAAGGGGGCTGGGCCGAGACCGCGGGGATCAAGGCTTTGGCGAGGCGGGCATGCGATGTTCAGAGGCCAAGGGGTTTGGAGAACCGAGGCTTCCATCTGAGCAGCGCCCAACACCCACCCCCCCAGTGCCCGCTTTAGTTGGTTGTTTTACTACCTTGTTTGAGAGGGTTTTTGGGAAGGTGTATATAAGATATTATGAGCAATGTTGGTAGAACCAACAGTCAATTGGTTTTGGGCGCTGCTCATCTATTTTTCCGAAAGGGCAGTTGGCACGTGGCCTCAGACTGCAGAACACGTATCACTGCTACTGTCGCGGTGCGATTTGCTTTTCTCCGCTAGAACTGTGGCAGTTTGGGAGATGCTTGGTTAAAGCCCAAGTCTTCGCATGTCCAGGGCTCCAAAAAGGGTTGTAGGTCTTGGTCAATGCGAGTCAATGCGCTGGGGAGGGTGGACCAAGGTTCACCTTTTTCGGCTCTAGAATCAAAGAGTCTTTACACCCCAATTGAGTATTTCTGCTTGATTCCAAGCTGCCGCCAGCAGGATCAGCCAGATCAACGGCGTTCAGGTGGCCGGCATGTCGGACGCCGACTTCAAGGCGCCCTGCGCCCCGTTGTCGGCGCTGTTGATCTGGGTGGTGTGACTTTTTGAGGGTCCCTGATTGGTTGGTTTTCAAAGGGGGCCAAAAGCGCATCAACCATTTCGGGGGTCCCATTTTGAATGACAGAGCCACTGTTGCGTCGACTCGCGAGCTGGTCCAGGGAGCCACCGAGCTACTACTTGGGTCACAGCTGTGGCGGTGGTATTCCCGTGTGATCCCATGTGGAGCGTTGATTTTAGAGGAGCCACATTTTGAAGGCCCCTCACTGCACGTGATTCATGGAAGCTGCCGAGAGCTCACAAAAGCTCCAGGTTTGGGACTTGGTGTGGTCCACCATCTTAGCCGCGTGTCGACGCTCCCAAACGTTGGGTGCCCTCCCCCGGAACGCCCCGAAGTTCGCCAGGCCGCCCTGAAGCAGCGCCCCCTGCGGATTCGTTTCGAGCAGATGCCGGGGCCTCAGCCGCGACGGAAGCGAGGGACAGCCTGGGCTGTTGAAACGAGGCGCGCGGGAGGTCTCAGTTTGAACATGACTTGTTTGTTCAAGAGATGAATGATTCAACTGAGAAATCATGTTTCAACTGAAAAGGCCAATGATCTTTGAAACTTTACCGATTGAAGTCAGTGGCAGGGCTTTGGAAGACTTCCCAACAGGGGTAAGGTCCCGTCCACGTCCATGATTGTTGTAAAGAACTCCTTGCTTCTGAAGCGACTGTGGAACTTGGCTCGGGCAAGAGGTCGGTGGGTGCGAACCGAACATCGCGAGGCGCGTTTGGCCCCCCTACTTTGCTTTTGACGTTGGCCACAAGGTGGGAAAGCGTCCACGTTTGAAAGAGAGCAGCGCAGGCCCTCTGAAGATCCAGAATTGGCAGAAGAATCAAATGAACAGGGGGCCTTAGAACGACAAACTTAATTGTTGTTTGGGTTCCTTCGGTTTCCTGATTAGGTGTCCCAATGTTAGACCGAATCCTGTATGTTTCCAGGGGGTCAAAGGGGGCGGGTGTCTTGGGCTGACCACCACAGGCAGTAGATTCCTTCAGCTTCGCCGTTCAAAATAAACCACACATCCAGAATTGAATCCGTATGCAGCCGTATGTGTGGGCCATCATGGCTATGACCAGTGTTCTGTGTTCTGATGGATCAAAAGGGACCATCCCCCCTGTACTGAGGTTTGACCACGTCACTCAGCATGGGACGCCATGAACGCCAAACCAGGATTCTGACTCAAGGGTTGGAGGGCGACGCGAAGAACATCAACCAGGGGTTGGCAAATCAACTCGCTTCGCACCAAATGCTTGCTGCTCCTTCATTCGCCCTGAGGTTCGAGGTGGTCCTCCATGACCCTGCGGAGAAACTAGGCGGAGAAGCCAGACAGGGAGCCCAACATGCTTGTGTGCAAAGGAGACTAACAGTGTGGTTGTTGGTTGAGTTCCGTGTTGATCTGCAGGACAGTATCGTATGTGGGAAACAAAGTATATGTAACGTCTTTGCGACAGGTGTTTCCCAAGAATTGGAGGAACACGGCCACAGTGTCAAAACTGTGCACCTGTTTGCCCTTTTAGTTTTTGTTTCGGATGGCTTTAAAAGGGAACCAACATGGCACAAGCCACTCAGATGGTCCCGCGCTCGTTTTGACTAAAGCAGCCCAATAGCCGCCTGCACTATCCATTGCCCAATTGCGGATTTCTGCCCCTGCCCATGAGTTAGCGGTTTTGTTATTCATGTTTGTCCACTCGACTTTGCCGCAGCGCAAGTGCGCAAGGTGCGGGCTGAAACAACAAGTGCGGTTGTTCTTCACTGGTTCCCCTTTGTTTAGCTAGAATTTCCAACATGCTGCTATGCTCATGCTATGTGTCCATGCCCACGTTCCCATTTGTGTCCTTTGGGGTGCTTTTCGTCTTTCGCAATGTAACCCTGCCTTTTGCTTTGCTGTTCCCCTCAAAAGGATCCGGATTCACTCCAAATGAGACATCCCGCTCTTCCTGCCCTGCAAATCATCATGCCCAAAAGCATCACGTTTTTTTGTGGCTTCCATGCCTGCTTGGCCGGGGAGGAAAAAGACACCAGAGGCCTATTACTTCACGGTGTTCCCTTTGCGGGACAGCCAAAAATCCATGGCCCCGCGCAGGCTGCGGTTTTTCGGGGGTGCCTCCTGGCAGCGTCACGGCCGGGGCGCCCAGGGGCCCCCAGGGGCCCCCAAAGCCGCCCAGCCGCTGGAGCCGCGTGCCGCGGATCGGTCCAGAGCAATCGACTCGAGGTGTCCAAAGTGGCGCCGGGCTCCTTCGCAGAGAGGCAGGGAGGTTGGCGTCAGCATGGCGTCAGGATGGCGTCAGGTGGGGGGGGGTCTGTGATTTGATGCCGGTTTCAGGCTGGTTTTTTCAGAGGACACCGAAAGGTAGATCGCCCATTTTTGAGGGTCCCCCAGTTTGAGGCATAGCCACGTCACTTGTAAATCCGACCAGCTCGGAACAACTCACACTTTGATGAAAGGATTTGACAGCTTGCTGATATTTGGGTTCGTCTCAAAAAGTCGGGGAACCCACCAAATGGTTAGTTTCCTTTTGGTTCAGTTGAAACCACAAAACGTTCCCTCAAAACGACAACACACCCATTTGTGCGCTTGGGCCATAGATATTCCCGTTAAAGGGGCCCGTTGAAGGGCCATTGACACACCGGAGTTCTGGGGCTGTCTCGGATGGTCGCGGGTTCGCTTCGGTCCTAGTTGCTGGCTCGCTTCGGTCCTAGTTTTCATCTCGCTTCGGTCCTAGTTTCCTTACTCGCTTCGGTCCTAGTTTCTTCGCCGTTGACTATGGTGTTTGAGAGGCAACATCCTTGTCGACCCCACCCCACCCGGCATGTCTTGTTGTTAGGTGTTTGAGAGGCAACATCCTTGTCGACCCCACCCCGCCCACCCCACCCCGCCCGGCATGTCTTGTTGTTAGGTGTTTGAGAGGCAACATCCTTGTCGACCCCACCCCGCCCGGCATGTCTTGTGTTAGGTGTTTGAGAGGCAACATCCTTGTCGACCCCACCCCGCCCGGCATGTCTTGTTGTTAGGTGTTTGAGAGGCAACATCCTTGTCGACCCCACCCCGCCCGGCATGTCTTGCTGTTAGGTGTTTGAGAGGCAACATCCTTGTCGACCCCACCCCACCCGGCAGTTCTTGTTGTTAGGTGCTTGAGAGGCAACATCCTTGTCGACCCCACCCCACGCGGCATGTCTTGTTGTTAGGTGTTTGAGAGGCAACACCCTTTGCGTGTGTCCTGTTGTTAGTGCTCAAAAAGCTATCTTCCACTGCGCGTGAAGTGATCCAAAAATTGCGACAGAAGTGATCCGCAAATGCTCAAACTACGACCAAAGTGAGTGGATTTCAGCTGCGACCAAAGTGATCCAAAAACTGCGACCAAAGTGATCCCCCCGCCGTCTCGGATCACCCTGCAACTCGCGTCATCCTTGGGCCACCGATTTCACGTCTTCTCAAACCAAGGAAAGGCTCAGGTCTCCCTTTCTTTAGACCAAAACCATGGGCCTTTTGCGGAAAAAGAAAAAAACACCGCGGCAACAAAAACTGGCCGAAACCCAAAGGCACCGCCTCCTCCGTTTCTTTCGACCAAACACATGCGCATGTTGCGAGGCACGGCAACAGCCGGCCGAAACCCACAAGGCACCGAGGAGCCGTTCGACGTCCTCTGCAGGCACCAGGTGGAGCCGGGCTATGAGTTGGTGGCCCTAAACGGCACAGAGATGCACAGCCTCGCGGAGGGAGCCTTCAAGCCGCCCCGCCGCCTTGCGGCTTGCGGGGGCTTTTCGGACGGTGTTTTTTTTTGGTATGAAAGGGGCCCAATGGATCGGATGTTTTTTTGTTTTCCTTTGGGGACTTCGGATGTTTTGACTTGGCCCATGGAAAACGATGGTGGTCTTGGCCGATCATCGTTTTCCGATCTCGTGATTTGAGATTGATCTTGAAGACCCTTTGGGCTCGATGCATCGATCGGCCGGCTTGGTGTGTGTTTTTCCATTCTGTCTTTTGTTTGGCAATGCCCCTGTTTGATTATTCGGGCCCTTGTGGGTAGTAGATGATTAATCGGTGTCAAGATCCACCCTTTTGATTCTTTGCCATGGGTTTCGGGAAGACCGTTTTACTACTGGGTGTTGATTGTGGCTCGATAACTCAACATTTTTCCACAATCGGAGAATAAATGGGCCGCATCCCCAGATACACCCTTTCAAATCTCCCCAGTTGGATGCTGTTTGGTGGTTATTTTGGGTTTGTGAGGCACGGGCCAGGTCAAACATGGATCTCGTGTCGTTAGCTGCCTGATCGTCGTTGTTGCTGAGTTGCGTGTTTGTGTGCGCTTGAGTTGCAAGGAACCTTCGCCCTTACTAACCATTCCCTGGCAAGTGTTTCCGGAGTCAATGTTGACTTTCTTCAGCGCCAGGCTACTTGGGGCGGAGTTTTGTCCCCTTTCTGCTGTACACTACGTTCATTTTGCGAGAAAGCTGATGCTTACGCCTTCATCGATCCTTGAGAAGGGGCTCCCCCCTTTTGGTCGGCGTTTCAGGGGGAAACAAAAGGAACCCACCCATTTGGACAGTGCTTCTTCAGCAGACCCACGGAATTCTAGCTGCATCCATTCTTTCCGAAGATCCCACCAGCCAAGGAAATTGGGTGGCTTTGGGTGCAAGCTTAGATTCACTTGGACCAGTATCCCACGACGGGAGGGCCAGCTCAGGTTTCTCCTGCCAGCAGCGTGTGTGGGATCCAATCCGTTTTGGGACAGTGGTTTCGCGTCAATCTGCAGAACCACAATCCTTGGGGCAAATTGGCTTTGTACGGCCGCTTTCTGTGGCTGCAAGGGAATTCTTTAAAATCATGAAGTGGTCACGGGAATCGTTGAATGTGATAAAGTAGTCACGCGGATGGCAGCCAGCCACTTTGGTGTCACCGAATATTTCTTGTCTTCGACCGCCATGACCAAAATTGATAGGGATGGCCAACTCTGGGAAGTTTCTAGGAATCCGATTGAGAGAACCGTGACCAAAGCAGTTCTGAGGCCCTCACGTACAGATCTAAGGGGAGCCAAGGGAGCCTACAGATTAACACAAGGAGATTCCGTTTAAATTATTCGGCTTTTGGGCCAGTGGTGCCCCAAATTCAATTCAACCAAAACGGAGCCACAAACGGCCAATCGCCAAACAATGGCAAGCTATCGACCATTCGGGGGGTCATTGTGAGGAACAGAGTTTCGGTTCTCCGACAAATCCGGTGATTCCACAAAATCACGATGTTGCACGAAATCGCCTTCGGCGGGGTCCACCAAATCCGGTGATGTCCGGACACAGCCAGGGAGGGCTTGAAGTCGCGGCCTGCTCGCTGGGAGCCCCAGAAAAGGTGCAGGCTGGGATGGGATACGCATGGAAAAGAAGCTGGTTGGGCATCAAGGAACTTGTTATGTCTAGCAACTGCAATGAAGGGAAAGGCAAGGAAAGGCAAGGAAAGGCAAAGGAAACCAAAAGGACAAGGGAGGAAGGAAGGAAATCACTCCTTTTTGTTTTTTTGAAATGACGCCTGTTGGGGTCCTAGTATTTTTGTTTGGACTTCACGCCTGTGGGCCCAGGTGTTTTTCTTTGGAATTCACACCTGGCGGTCCTAGTGTTTTCTTTTTTGAGCATCACGGCCGGGTGTGATTTCAGCGAAAAAAAGAACACCGAAGCCCCCAAGCGTGACTTTAAAAGAAAAAGACACCCCGGCATGAATGCAACAAACACAAGCACCGGGACTTCAGGCGTGATTTGCAAGAAAGAAAGACACCCCCCGCCAGGCGTGATTTCAAAAAGAACAACATCGGGACACCCCCAGGCGTGATTTCAATAGAAACACCTGGAACCCCCAGTCGTGATTTAAAAAAGAAAAAAAGAAAAGCGAAACCCCACCAGGCGTGATTTCCAAATAAGCACAAACCACTGGGACCCCCCCAGGCGTGATTTCAATATATGTGATTCCAAAAGAACACCGGAGCCAATGAAAGGACCTCATTTTTTGGGCCCCGACTCGCTTCAAAGGATGGGACAACGGGTGGGTCGAGCACGCGCAGAATCTCGGACATGAGACCTCCCTGCCGCCTCCAACTTGTCTGAGTCATCCAGCAGTTTGTGGCCATCACTGATCCTTTGGCGCTTGCCCGGCGTTGAGTTGAGGCACCCCCCCAAATCAACTGGCAGCTTTGTGAAGGCTTCGATTCTTGCTGCCAGTATGACCAAAGGACCCAAGGGGAATATGGTGCGGACGAATATCAATATGCCTTAAACTCCTTTTTTTTCAAGCTCATGTTGCCAGTGGCTTAGGGCCCTTACCCTGAAACACGCAGGCCCTTGTTACCACGGACTCCGGGCTTTGGGCCCCCGAGGGCTCCGCTTCCGCGTCCCCGAGGCGCGCAAAAGGGCGGGCGCCGGGTTTCGGCGGGGAAGGTGGCAAAAAGGGACCGCCGAGATGGAAGTTCCCTTTTGGTTTCACCAAGGTGAAATGAGTTATACCCCTGAAAGAAAGCATTCAGAGCCTACATTTAGAGCATGAGCTTTTTTTTTCAGGTCCCAATGCGTCACGATCAGCTTTGCGGGAAGCGGCAATGCGCAGGCCCAAGGAGACGTACCAGATGGCATGCGCCGGGCCCAGCTGATTTTTATATCGGCTGGGAACTGCTCGCATCTACAAGTTTGGGGTTTCGGGGAGAAGGGGGTTTGGGGTAGGGTTTGGTGGGCTTGAAGCTTGTTCTTCTTTTGTGTCGTTGTTTTTCTTTTTTTTTGTGTGTGTGTGTGGGGAGTTGGAGGTTGGGAATTTTCGGTGTGTGCGGGGGTTGGTGAAGGTTTGCTCACTTTGGGGAGTCAGCCAGAGCTGGGGAGGTCCCTGCTAAAGCCGGGAGAGGCTTTCCTTCTGTTGCTTTCCAGTGGACACATTGGGCGTTCCTTGCTTAAGGTGACCCGAGCTAGAATTCCAGCCTTGGCAGAATTGCACCTATGAAGAACCAGGCTGAGGCTTCTTGCTGCAAAATTGCGGCCTACCTTGCCTTGCGTACCGAGTTGGCATTAGGTGTCTTCGCGACCTTCACGCTTTATTTGAGCATGTTTGGCCTCTTTTGGGTTGGTTGGAAGGGACGCCACGAGGCATTCCGGGCTTCCGCTATTTGAGAGTTTTCATAGAACATGAGGAGCCCTCTTTGCACTAGTTGAAATGGACACCAAAAGGAAGCCACCGTCCTCAGCCACATTTCCCCTTGGCGAGACATGCCCCCAATGTCAATGCGTGAACTTTTTTGCACAGGATGGAGGTGGTGCTGGCCGATGCGGACACCAAGCTTGGCCAGGGCCAAAGAGAACTGGGCCACAATCAAAACCCGGGTAGATGAAGGTTAGAAAGGGACTGCCATAAATAGCTGCAGCCGCCTTCTTAATTCTCTACATGGTTCTCGGTAGACTATTTTACTACCGGGTTTTGTGACTCAGCTGGGCCTGTAGTTTGAGGGCACCGGTTGTTTGGGAAGGACACCCACGAAAAACACATGTCTTGGTGGTGATTCTTGGAGACATCCCCAATCGGTTGCCAGGTGTCCGACGGGTTCCACCATGGGTGAGCTCGTTTTCCACCATGGGTGAGCTGGAACCTGTTCAAATTCTGGAGAGCTCGCCTTCTCGCGCAATCATTGAACAAGGGCTCCTTGAAGAACACATGCCTTGGCCGTTCAAAACATCAAGTGTTTTTTCTTTTTAACCAACAGCTTTTTTTTGAAATCAATCCAGGGCTTTTGGGAACAGCCTGGCTCAAGCAGACTGGGATCCGTGATGACAGACATGGAGAATGGTCCCTTGGCGGGCCGCTGTTGCGGCAGATCTTCACCTACAACTTCCCCATCAACATGCTCAGGGCAGCTGCTAGTTGTCGGCCTTTGCATGCAGCTTTGAAAAGACAGTTGGAGGATGCGATGGAATTCGACAAAGCTGACTGGGTGATCTTGGGAGAAATCCAGCAGCCTGGCTCCAACGGCAGGATCGGACAGATCATAGAAGTGAAGCCATCTGATTGCACACGATGTGCAGCCCAGGTGGATGGACTGAACTGACGTGCAATGGGCAGAGCCAACCTGCGCTCTCAGGGTACCAGCAGATGATGTATGTGATTCAGAACGTGCCTAAAAGGGAGATAGGATCACGCATGGTTGGCTTGTTCCTGCCACCGTGCACGCGGTCCGCTTTCATGAAATTGGCGAGGTTAGGCCAGGTGGCCCTTTAGAAGGCCAGTGTGAAAAGAGACTACACCAAGCTTCTCGGATCGTCCACGCCTCTGCAACACAAGTTCCAAAGGGCCTTGCCGCATTTGCTGAGCCACAAGGCCACAGCCCCTTGATGGCAGATTTGGGACGCCCTGCGCTTTTGCGGCCAGTTGTTGCGTTGGCGTCGACAATTGCTATGCTTCCACTCAGCTTCGTTTGCACGACAGGCACGGAGCCTTAAGACACGGCATGGCATGGATAAACGGCGCAGGCCCCGCCGTGATCGCTTGGTTGGACCAGTCAGACTTCACACTAGATGACATTCACTGGCAAGGTTGTAGACCACCATGAATCGCGTGAACTTGATGACCTTCCGAGTCCGTCACTGTCCATCTTGAAGTTGCAAAGCCTTTAGCGTGAGTCTGCGCCAGTGCAGGAGTCTGTCATCGAACCAATCTCTCACTACGAGGTTCCTGCCAAGATCAAGCCAGCCGAGGCCAAAGCCGTTGTTCAAGTGCAACGGGAATCGATCATCCAGCTAGGGCCCATCCCTGCAAGCGTGGCAGAGCTGGCGTGCGTCCTGACATTCAACCGCGCACCTGAAGCATTGGATCGTGCCATCGGACGATCTGGCTTGGGCCGTTAACTGCTTGAACGGGGATGCAGCCTCAAGCCAGCCTGGGCCAATGGTGCAAAGATTCTGGTGGAAGGGTTGGCAGAGGAGACATGGACAAGATGCAGCTCTTTCCCCAGTTCTGCGTCCATCACATGTGATTCTACCAGCGCATGCCTTGGATGACATCCTGGAAGAGGTTGAGAAGATTCCGCGCTCCTCTCGGCCGCGGCTGAAGCATGGTAAGGAAGTCATCTCAGTTCCGGACCTGCTTGAATTTGCAGATCTTTCCAACAACAGGCCAGGAGCATCCAGCGATGTGACATTCGTGTCAACTGAATCTTCAGCAGTCTCGGATAGGTTGGGGTGGGCAGCCTTCATCGATGGCTTCCGGGGCAAGATTCTGCATGTGCCACAGGCCACATGTGTCGTACCTTCTTTCACAAGCCAGAAGAGGCCCCAGACACGCCACGGAGTGTGGCCACAGAATCAGCTCCAGCAACTGGCCTTGCCTCCAATCCACGCCTGTTCAGCCAGCTTTCGCCGCTTCGCCGTCCTTGAGCCTTGGCCTTGAGCAAGATTCGGATTCAGGCCTCTTCCCCCAGCCGCCACCCCCACCTTTTTCTTGAATCGAGTCGTCGACGTTTTGCTGTTGGAGTTTTTTTGCTTTGGTTGTTGTCAGCGTGAGTCTTGCTCATGAAGCCTAGTGCTGCTGTTGATTGGCAGCTAGTTCCGTATACAGATGCGCCTGCAGATCCTGGTAGAACAAGCGTTGCGTCTGATTTACCAGCTTCTTTGCCAGCAGGAACCCTGTCCTGACAGTCGCTTGCTGTTGCGACAATTTGTAATCACGCTCTTAGGGTGCTTCAAGAAACCGGGCCACTTTGTATATGCTCCTACAGATTCATTGAGACACATACTCATCCCTTGAGTTTATCAAGAGCAATCTCTGTTCCAGGCATTGGCAACTCTCCTTGGGCGTTGCGGTATGGGTGGAGCCTGGACTGTGACACACGGATGCGCCGCACTGTTGCCGGTCGAAAGAGCCGTGGAGCCGAGAAATCACCCCTGACATGAATCAATCCACCCACTACGCACGGGTTTGCCGAGTTCGCCCCTTTGTTTTGAATCTGGAGTTGACGCCTGATTCGGCTGATCCTTCAAGTCCTTGATGTCTTTTGTCCGGCAGGCCTAACCTGAGGTGACCAGTCGTCAACCTCGGCTTGTAGAGTTCCTCGGGCAGGTCCTTTTTTCAAGAATTCTCTAATTTCCCCAATGGAGTTTCCAGGCCCCTTCGTCAAGAGCAGGCCAACTAGAACTGCCCCACGTGAATCAGAAGTGGAGCTCGGCTTTTATGTGTTTTTTTGAGGATTTCCATAAGGCTACAAATCTTCATGGGCAGCCCTCTGACAAGTGATTGGTGGCTAAATCGCCACCTAAATGATGTCCACCGAAGGGTTCCGAACTAAAGTTCATACCCATACGGCTGTGGGTCAACAATAGGTACGCACAATGGAACCCTGGTAAATGGTACCAAGGACTATAATCTGCAGTCCCCTCATAATTTAATTTTGACCCACGGCCATATGAGCTTTCAAAGGGAGCGCCATTACTCATCAATTTGGCCGCTAGCCGCCAGATTCACCGGTCCTGGCCGTGTCTTGTTTTTTTTTTGACATTGCCCCCCGCCCTTTGCAATGACTCCTTCGAGGCTGCGGCTTCGCCGGGGTTCCGCCCGAGCCCGTGGTGGCCGCCGCCTCGGTTTGAAGCGAGTGAATCGCCGTGCAAAGCGCGTGGGATGGGCTTGGAGCAGGCGGAGCAGATGGGGTGGGGGAGGGAGGGGGCGTAGGGAGGGGGGGAGTAGGTAGGGGGTGAGGGGGGGTGTAGGGAGGTGGGTGGGGGGGAAGGTAGGGGGGCAGGGGTAGGGGTGCCGAAGCAGATCGTGTTTCAACCATGGCTGGTCTTGCTCCGGAACACCTTTGGATGGTGCGATTTGCCGTGGAACCGGCAAGCGGCTCGAGTTGTTTCTTGCTCCAAAGACGAGACCGACTCAGCATCACGCCGACAGGCTATAAGAATTCCAGCAGTTTGCTGGGTCCCACGTTAGTTACCCCAGCCTTGAGGGTCTGGCAAAAGTGGATCCTTCCCGTGAGCTCACCCAACAAGAGAACAGCGTGCCTGGGCATGATGAATCATGAGGGGTGGTGAATCATGACTTGTGCCGCAAGGTTGGAAAGATCACACCTGGAAGCTTTGCAGAGAGGACGCAGCATGCTTGCAGTGTGGCGTGGTCGAGACAGCTGCAATCAAAAGAAGAGTCAGTTTACCCCCAGCTTGTGCACCCGGGGGTAAAGCTCTTAAGAGGCTTACGCAAGCCCCGTACTCGTTGTCTCATAGAAACAGCATGAAGTTCTTATGATCGGCGAAGCGGATCATCTGCGATGAGCCTCCCCGAAGCACTTCTTCTTGCGCTTCCCAAGACCAAAGGGGGCTGGCTTGTTGGCCAGGAACAAAGTGCAGATAGGGTACTCCCTGGTGGCCGTGAATGGGACGGAAATCAAGAGCCTGAATGCTGACAGCTTCAAGCTGGGGCCTGAGACAGTGAGGTTCACTCACCCTTCCAGATGACTACTTAAGCATGAGCTTCGAATGGGACTCTTTGGTGTGCATCATTTACGATTTGATGTATTTTGGCATCCCCTCTTTGAGATTTATAGCCATGTAGTAGCGGTAATGCTGGGGGGTATGCCCTCTGATGACCATTCGGCGCCAAAAAACAGCTGTGGGGCCATTTCGGGTTGTCTCAAATGGGTGGGTGCTCCAGTTGACCACAAATTCCACCTCCCGGCCACCCCCAGCCAAAAACCCACACAGGCTGCCGTCACTCGTTTTGTAGACCTGTGAGGGAAGCCTTGAAAGCCCGCCCCGTGCGCAGCTGCCCCAGTCTGGGGTGTACAGCTGCATTTGTGCCTCGGGCAAAACCCCCAACCGCTTGCTAAATAGGTGGATCCCTAGACAGCAGAGTTTTCTGAAAGGAAGGTTTTCCTGCAGGCCAACAGGTTCCTTTTGGATGGTCAGAAGGAGTTGGGCCATGAAATTAGTCGCCATGGAGGCAGAGCGGCGCAAGCCTTGCCAGTCAGTTGTTTTGCTACTGTCACGCGCTTTGGAAAGGCCGGCTTTCATACTGTCTAGGCTTGCGTATCCAGATTCCGCAGGAGGAGGACGGAAGTCCAGCTGCCCTTGCAAGCAGCTTTTTGAAAAAGACAAGGCCTTTGCAAGCACTGCACTGGAAGGAGAAGGTGCAGACTGTGGAGAAGGTAGAGAAACAGGAGAATGCAGCCACCGCCATCCAAGCCCTTGCACGCGCGGGCCAGAGGCACTATGCGATACTGAGATGTGCTCCATTTTGACATGCGTCAAAGTCAGTGCTGCTGGCGAAATCAAGGTGGCCGTGCTGCTCGAAAAGGAACGGGCCTGGAGGTGTGGTGGATGTGGTCGTGCTAGCTCTCTTTGCTGAGTTGCAAACGGATTTCTTGCTGCCGCTGCTGCTGCCTTCTCACTGCTACTTGTTTGTGGTAGGCTGGATTGGCCGGGATGCAAGAAGCCAACACGTGCCGCCCTTGGGAATGCGCAGAGAGCATGTGCCCAGAGAAACATGTTGTTTAGGTGTTTTGCAACACGTTTTAACCATGCGTTGCACACTTGAGTCACTTGGGTTTCGTGTGTGACTTGCAGAGGTTCGAGCTCACTCTTCAAGATGCAGAGACGAAACTTGGCCGTTGGCTGAGTGGCTGCGACTATCGCGAGGTATGCCTTGCCATCGAGATAATATTGTCATGTGCCACGGTATTCTGTCCCAGCTGCCCAAACCAGCATCTGCAATCAGGCTGCGGATTCGCGGGAGTTCCCCCGGAGCCCGTGGCTGCAAAAGACTCAAGACAGAGAGAGGGAAAGAGCGAGATAATCAGGTGGCCTTTTCGTCAAGATCAGGTAGAAATGGGCGTGTGTAGGGAAGTGGTTGCATTTGGTTGCGCTGATGGCTTGTGCTTCATGCTTGCAGTCGTGCGGGCTGCAGTGTAAACCATGGTTGCCCAAGGTTGGCAAGATCACTCCCGGAAGCTTTGCCGAGAGGACGGCATGACGAAAACAGCAGCCTAGCCTTGCGCTTGCCGGTTCGCGTTGCGTCGCTGATCTGCGGGATGGGGTTGCTGCCAGGAACAACGTGCAAGTGGGGTACTCCCTGGTGGCCGTGAATGGGAAGGACATCAAGAACCTGACTTCCGATACCTTCAAGTTGGGTGCCGAGCAACGGACAGCTTCATGTGTCATGCTGAGCTTTTCTGAAGTCAGTGGCACTACTGAGGGAAGCCTTGAAAGCGCGGCCTGTGAGCAGATGTCTCAGTTGCGGATGTGCAGCTTACGTCGCTTCCAGAGTGGGACGATACATGTAGGACGTTGGGCACTGAGGCCTACGCATCCAAGTTCCACAAGAGGAGGACAGATTGCACAGTGGAATGGGGTTGCATGTGATGCGCAGATTTGCGATCTTGGGAAGCGTGTCGACTGGAAGGAGAAGGTGCAGACAGTGCAGAAGGTTGAGAAGCAGGAGAATGCTGCCACCGCCATCCAAGCCCTTGCGCGTGCGGGCCACGGGTGTTTCTGGCCGCTGGCTGTCACAGGCTTTCACTGGACATTCTTTGAGTTGTTCGGAGTGAGTGCTTCTGACAGATTCAAGGTGGCCGTGCCGCTCGAAAAGGAACTGGTTTGGAGGCGACATGCAGGGCTAAAGCTTGAGAGGAATGGTTACAGCCTGCTTGCGGCTGGCGCGGTTGATGGTCTTCTGAGGCTATTGACCGTTTCACTGTCTGTCGTACAGTTCTGGATGCAGGCTGGATTGGCCGGGATGCAAGAAGCCAACACGTGCCGCCCTTGGGAATGCGCAGAGAGCATGTGCCCAGAGAAAACATGTTGTTTAGGTGTTTTGCAACAAGTTTTACCCATGCATTGCACACTTGAGGGTTTCGTGTGCTGCAGAGGTTCGAGCTCACTCTTCAAGATGCAGAGACGAAACTTGGCCGTTGGCTGAGTAGCTGCGACTGTCCAAGATGCCTTGCCATCAAGATAATAGTGTCATGTGTCGCGGTATACTGTCCCAGCTGTCCAAACCAGCATCTGCAATCAGGCTGCGGATTCGCGGGAGTCCCACCGGAGCCCGTGGCTGCAAGAGTCTCAAGGCAGAGAGAGGGAGAGAGCGAGACAATCAGGTGGCCTTGTCGTATAGATCAGGTAGAAATGGGCGTGTGTAGGGAAGTGGTTGCATTTGGTTGCGCTGATGGCTTGTGCTTCATGGATGTGTGAACCATGGTTGCCCAAGGTTGGAAAGATCACTCCCGGAAGCTTTGCCGAGAGGACGGCATGACGAAAACAGCAGCCTAGCCTTGCGCTTGCCGGTTCGCGTTGCGTCGCTGATCTGCGGGATGGGGTTGCTGCCAGGAACAACGTGCAAGTGGGGTACTCCCTGGTGGCCGTGAATGGGAAGGACATCAAGAACCTGACTTCCGATACCTTCAAGTTGGGTGCCGAGCAACGGACAGCTTCATGTGTCATGCTGAGCTTTTCTGAAGTCAGTGGCACTACTGAGGGAAGCCTTGAAAGCGCGGCCTGTGAGCAGATGTCTCAGTTGCGGATGTGCAGCTTACGTCGCTTCCAGAGTGGGACGATACATGTAGGACGTTGGGCACTGAGGCCTACGCATCCAAGCTCCACAAGAGGAGGACAGATTGCACAGTGGAATGGGGTTGCATGTGATGCGCAGATTTGCGATCTTGGGAAGCGTTTCAACTGGAAGGAGAAGGTGCAGACAGTGCAGAAGGTTGAGAAGCAGGAGAATGCTGCCACCGCCATCCAAGCCCTTGCGCGTGCGGGCCACGGGTGTTTCTGGCCGCTGGCTGTCACAGGCTTTCACTGGACACTCTTTGAGTTGTTCGGAGTGAGTGCTTCTGACAGATTCAAGGTGGCCGTGCCGCTCGAAAAGGAACTGGTTTGGAGGCGACATGCAGGGCTAAAGCTTGAGAGGAATGGTTACAGCCTGCTTGCGGCTGGCGCGGTTGATGGTCTTCTGAGGCTATTGACCGTTTCACTGTCTGTCGTACAGTTCTGGATGCAGGCTGGATTGGCCGGGATGCAAGAAGCCAACACGTGCCGCCCTTGGGAATGCGCAGAGAGCCTGTGCCCAGAGAAAACATGTTGTTTGGGTGATTTGCAACAAGTTTTACCCATGCATTGCACACTTGAGGGTTGCGTTTGTGACCTGCAGAGGTTCGAGCTTACTCTTCAAGATGCAGAGACGAAACTTGGCCGTTGGCTGAGTAGCTGCGACTGTCCAAGATGCCTTGCCATCAAGATAATAGTGTCATGTGTCGCGGTATACTGTCCCAGCTGTCCAAACCAGCATCTGCAATCAGGCTGCGGATTCGCGGGAGTCCCACCGGAGCCCGTGGCTGCAAGAGTCTCAAGACAGAGAGAGGGAGAGAGCGAGACAATCAGGTGGCGTTTTCGTACAGAGCAGGTAGCAATGGGCGTGTGTAGGTGGTTTGCAGCAGTGTGAACCATGGTTGCCCAAGGTTGGAAAGATCACTCCCGGAAGCTTTGCCGAGAGGACGGCATGATGAAAACAGCAGCCTAGCCTTGCGCTTGCCGGTTCGCGTCGCGTCGCTGATCTGCGGGATGGGGTTGCTGCCAGGAACAACGTGCAAGTGGGGTACTCCCTGGTGGCCGTGAATGGGAAGGACATCAAGAACCTGACTTCCGATACCTTCAAGTTGGGTGCCGAGCAACGGACAGCTTCATGTGTCATGCTGAGCTTTTCTGAAGTCAGTGGCACTACTGAGGGAAGCCTTGAAAGCGCGGCCTGTGAGCAGATGTCTCAGTTGCGGATGTGCAGCTTACGTCGCTTCCAGAGTGGGACGATACATGTAGGACGTTGGGCACTGAGGCCTACGCATCCAAGTTCCACAAGAGGAGGACGGATTGCACAGTGGAATGGGGTTGCATGTGATGCGCGGATTTGCGATCGTGGGAAGCGTTTCAACTGGAAGGAGAAGGTGCAGACAGTGCAGAAGGTTGAGAAGCAGGAGAATGCTGCCACCGCCATCCAAGCCCTTGCGCGTGCGGGCCGCGGCTCGCGCATAGTCGGAGCGGTGCTTTACCTGTTTATCGGAATACCAGCGTCACGGGTGTTACTCACCCATTTTCATGTTGCACTCATGTTTTTCCACTTTGCACAGTTTTGCTTTGAGATGTGCAGTGGGTTGAGCCCGTGAACATGGTAGAGGAACAATATATGTGAACACATCGCATGCTTTCTTGTTTTTGGAAGTATAGGCAAAAGACTGAGTTGAAATATCAGGAACCCCCTAATTGGTGGTCTTGATTGGTGGTTTGAAAACTCCTGGTCCAAATGGGAAACCACCCCGGAACACAATCCAAATCACTAATCCAAACAACCAATTTGAGGAAAGCTGAGTTGTTTGAATGGTCCAACTGACTGAGGAAGCTGCAGAAAACACCATGCAGGCATGACAGAAGCAAGCGTCGAACAGCATGGATGACTCTGGACATTTATTGATAATTCAAATTATTATTATTGTTGTTATTATTATGTTTCTGAATAATATGATTCTTTCGGGGAGTTGAAATGGCGGCGGTTGCATTTCGGTGGAAACTTACGTCCAATCGCTTTGCAGCAGGTTCCAGTTATTAAGATTCACAGCCCTGCACCACGTCCCAGGCGGCCGAGCCGCCCGGCAGGCAGGTTTAGCACAGTCTCGGTCTTATGTAGAGTGCTGACAATATTCCGATTGCAACCAAAATCAGACCCAAGCACCGGCACACACACACACACACACAAAAGTGGGCGCGATGAATGTCACATGGACACCGCAACGCACAGTTTGGCCTGTTTTGCTTGTAGATTGGGAGCAAACTGAGCAAATTCTAGCTGGAGTGCCATCCTTGGCCAGAAGCACTCCTCAAAAGGCATCACGCAGCTCCAAGACCTTTCTCCCACGCCCTTCCAAGTGCGAGCCTAGCTGGTTCCGACGGACCTTGCATTCTGAGTGCAGTTCAGTTCTTGTTTTGAACCTGCGCACCCCCTCCGAATGGTTAGTTGATGTTGGCTCCCTTTTAAACTGTCGCAGTCCCGGGCTTGATGCAATGGCACATGACTTCACACCCATAATTGTAAACGCTTCGCGTTGCCCGCCTCGGCCCAGCCTAGTTTGAGGGAAGGGTCAGGAACACCGAAATCCAGTGTTGGGAAGGTCCGAATCCTACTGAGAGCTTGTGACCGCACCAGTTCGCCCGTGCTAGTTCGATGTTCGGAAGCCGTCCTGCTCAGAAGCCGTAGCGTGTGCCGTTGTATTTCCCCTGCGCCGAGAGGCCGGGCAGGCTGGGCGTGCTGGCTAAGCTGTGGGCTGGGGGCCGAAGCGAAGGGGAGCTGGGGTAGGCCGTGCTTGAGTGGGTTGCTTGCTCAGACTAGGGCTGGCCAGCTTGGGCTGCGCTGCTTGGGCAGCCGGAGAGAAGGGCTGGGGCACGTTGGGCCAATTGATGCCATGCGCCGGACCAGGCTGCTGGTTGGGGAAGGCCTCCGCCTGGGGTCTGGGCAGGGCAGGCTGGGCTGGACCTTGCTAGGGCGGGTGGCTGGGCTGGCCTTGGGCTGTGGCTTGCTCGCGCGGGTTGCTGGTTGGGCTGGGCCTGAAGCTGGCTCCAGACAAGTCAGACAAGCCGGCCTCGCCTGGTTGGGCTGGGCCACAGGCTAGTCTCAGACACATCAGATAAGCCTGCGCTGGGCCTGAAGCTAGTCTCGGGCGGCTTGGCTGGGCCTTGCTTGCGTGGGTTGTTGGTTGAGCTGGGCCTGAAGCTAGTTTACGGCGGGCTGGGCCGCACTGAGGGGGCTGGGCTATGGCTGGGCTCGGCCTGAGGCCAGTTTCAGACACGTCAGACAGGCCTGGCCAGCAGGCGGACTGGGCTGGGCTAGACGCTAGTTGAAACAGGGTGGGCTTGGGTGGGGTTTGCTCGGTTGGGCTGGGCCTGAAGCTAGTCTCAGCCACAAGGCTGCGAAGCCATGGGTGGGTTGCTGGCTGCGGGGCAGTCGGAGCTGTGCTTGGGCGGGTCGCTGGATGGGCAAGGCCTGTCTCATACACACTTGGGCCTGAGGCTGGGTAGCGAGTTGCTGGCTGGGCTGGGCCTGAGGCCAGTCGCAGACACGTAAGACACGCCAGCAGGCGGGCTGAGGCAGTCTCAGGCTGGCACACTGCGCCGAAGGGGTCAGACAGGCGCTGGCGTAGCTTGAGACCAGTCTCAGCCACGTGAGACTGGTTGTTGGCCTGAGGCCAGCGTTAGACAAACCTGACCTTGGCACGCTGTGCTGGTGGGCTGGGGGGTGGCTGGCATCCCTGGGGCCTGGGCTGGGCAGGCTGGGCTGGGCTTGCTGGATGACTTGGGGCCGGGTTGCTGGTTGGGCAAGCCCGTCCCAGACAAGCTCGGGCCCGAGGGGTGGGCTGGGCTGACAGGCCTGGCCAGCAGGCGGGTTGCGGTTGGGCTGGGCCTGAGCCTAGTCTCAGACACGTCAGACAGGCCTGGCCAGCAGGACAAAAAAAGCAATTTTTTACTGATTTTCGCAGTTGTCAGCACATTTTCGACAAAATGGACCCATGGAGCTGGACGCCGACGAACCCCGAAAATTTCAAGGCCCGCCGGACAGGATTTTTGGCCAGCCGACATGGATAAGGGGGGGGGGAAAAGCGAAGATTCTTTTTGGAGAAGAGATCTGAGCGCCCTTGGCCCCTTTGGGGCCGAGGCGAATTTTCCTGACAGCTCTTGTCTCGTGAGCCTGAGGAAAACCGCAGGCCTTCAAAACGAATGCCGCCTTCAACTGCTTAAAACCTTGCCAAAAGATTCCTTTGTTTCTTGCATTGCCAAAAGGGTGCTAGTCCATGTTGGGACGCAAACACAGAATGTATCTTGGACCAAGCCCTGAGTGCGAAAACGGCTCTCGGCACAATGATTGAAGACTTCCGGCACGGTGTCGCCTGTTCCACCATCCAGCCCGAATAAACCTTTCAACAAATCCAACGAGTCCTGGAAATAATTTTGCCACAGGGCTCCATGGCAACTGGTTGTTCGCCCATTTTCTCACGCCATGCTGACTTGGGAGGCCAGCCGCCCACTGGAGGAGCTGGAGGCGTGGCGCTTTCGCGTGTTTTTTTTGGGGGGGTTTGCCTAGGTCGGCCAAAAAAGGTGGCCTTGGATCCCAACTCCTCCCAGCAACCGGAGTAGCTAGGAGACTCTTGGCCTGTCCCCTGAATTGGTTGCCCCCCCCCTTTTGCCCAGGAAACTCTTGGTGCCCTCGTCTGTCAGCCAAAAGGGGCCGTTTTGGCTCCCCATGGGAACTCCACGAAGCCTTGGCGCGATGTTCGATCTCAGGCCGCAGTGGCGGAGAGTGACCTCAGAACCTTCACCGTGGAGGCCGAGGAATCGAAGCGCCAGACATGGGACGTAGTGGCCCTTGCACCCATGGGATCAGTTGAGAACACCGGGACAGATCGGTCGGGCATCTTACCTTCTAGTTTTTGGGAGAGGTCCGCAGAAAGAGACTCAATTCCTAGAATCTGGAAAGGCAGGGAGTGTTTCCTGTCGGGACACCACAACATCAGCCGTGTTTTTTTTGAGGCTTGGACTTGGTTTCAACCAACAGGAACCAACCAACAGGACGCCAAGGTTTCCAAGTTTCTTCAAAGGAAAGGCCAAGGGATGCGTATTTGTTTGGTGTTCCGTGTTCCACAGACATACAACACCACAGCTCATTTGCTGTCAATAGCTTTCCTTTGTGATCGGACAAAGGTGTCGTTCGAGCTGCGATCAACAGGGATGCCCAACGTGTCGCCTTTCTGTCATTCCCAGTTGGAACCCAAATCACACTTGGAGGCAAGGCATTTCTGAACCCTTCTTGTCCTGCCGCGTTTGGTTTGGGACCCGTTCAGGCCAACTTCTAGGTATGCCCATGTTTGATACCCTTTTCGTAGTTGTTTTAAAAGAAAACCGAAGGGACACCAGGCCGCATGTTGGGAGCGGGTCGAAGTTCCTGAGTTCCGTGTCCCATTTGACCAAGCCTTCCCGGAGAGAATGTGGGGGCAGGTTCTAGGCAGGGGCGTGGTTTAAGAATGGCCCCCTTCAAAGGGACGCCAAAAGGATATTGATGAAAGGTTCAAACCCAAGCGTGTCCGCACCCCTGAGCTCCCTGTAGTGGTTTAGACACGGTTGAACCACGAGTGGTTCAAACCCAAGCCCCCAGCCCCCCCCCCCCCCCACAACCTCACAACCCCCCACCGCCCCCCCCTCCCACTGGACACGGTTTTTGGCAGGCCGCCGTGGCCTCCCTGGGCCTGGAGTTTGCGGGGCCCAAGCCGGTGGTCAGCAAGGCGATTGGCGAGTGACGCGATTGGCATGGAGAAGACCCCCCGCCCCCCGGCGTGGGGAATAAACCGGTGGTTCGGTGCATGAATGGAGGGAAAGCGGATCACTACGGAGACTCTCCCAACAATACCGGGTCAAGGAAATTCGGGGTCGACATACATTGATGCCTGGAACAATCGCGTGTGACTGGACTCCAGGCAAAAGAACCAGCTTACCTGCTTCTGCCCGTGTGTGGGCCCTTCTCGCTCCCTGAGCCAAGTGCCCCGCGAAAAAAAGTTGCCGGGCCGGCGCAGCTGTTTTAAACGCCCGAGCTCTTCTTCCGATCGCTTCTCTCCGCTTTGCAATGGCCCGTGGCAGCCTAAGCACAAGAGAAGGGACTGTAGTGTGGGTTGCTGAAGATCGGAGCCAGGGACTCATGGACTTCCACAAGCCACCGGGACCCACTCATCTTGTGATGCCCATTGCGATAATTGGGCCTGTCTTTCTTGAGCATACCTTCTTAAACGGAAACCCAAAGGACCACATTTCTTGTGTTGTTCTTCTCCGTCTTCGCCTGTTTTTGTTTCTTTCCGCTTTTCGTTGTTTTTTTTCGGCTCACCCAACCCGTGAGGAGCACACGTCCACGAGAATCCCATAGATGGCTCAGCCTAGGCTCCACCGGCCTCGTGCTGCTGTCCCTGGTGGCCCTCTTCGCGGCCCCAGCCGGGGGCTTGTGGGGAATCACTTCCTCAAGTGTTTTGTACGGCCCCCTTTCCCCCTCCCGATTTATGCGCAAAAAAAAACGCTGTTTTTTGCTCCACCAAGGGCTTTTTTATCCTAGGGTTGGGCCGGTTAATTGATTGGTTGGTTGGTTGGTTCCCACCCTCATGAAGATCTAATCCAGCCAAAACCCCCCTGCTTAAACAAGCCCCCAGCAACTCTCAACTGCCCCCCAGGTCCAAGTGATGCTGGTGATGCGGGGGATGTTGCCAGCCCTGCGAGGAAAAAAACAGCCATCGGAGAAAAATAACACCTCTACCACGACCTAAACAAAAGTACTCTGGAAGCAGTGATTTCCCGCAAATTAGTCGGACCAAATGAAAGTTGTTAAGCCTCAATGAGGCTCCTTACTTTCAGAAAAAGGGAGCACACAGGAAGCATGAGGTCGTTCCCCAAGCGGAGACAGAACTTACACTGCTTTGGGGATTGAGACGTTTATCACCACACCAGCTCAACTTTGGTCGTTTACCAAAAATAGGAAGCTCCTCCAACTTGTCGGTAGCTGTGGTCTTCTTTTCGAGTTGAGCCAAGCTGATTAGGGGTCTCAGGTCGGGAACCGACACAGGGTGGTGTTTCCCTTTGGCTTCCCTGTTAAACCTGAAAAAGGGAGGACCTTCAAAAACGGTTGACACCATTATGAAGCCCATGCTGGACTTGCGCAACTTCTATGAGAGAAATCGTGTGCCTTGCTTTTGCCATTGGAACCTCACCAAAAGCAGACTCATTCAAGACTCTCAATCCATGGACCGCTTTGGCTTTGGTGTGTGAAAGTAAACCAAAGGGACACGCGACAAGCACCCACGGTGCTGAGTTTATGGAGGCTTGTCATGGCTTGGCACCTTGGGCTACGCTTTTGTGGGTTTCCTTTGTCGCAAGCTGTGAACCTGAGGCCTTCCTGGCACCCCGCTCGGGTCCCACCGTGGAGGCGCATTTGTGTTGTCTAACGGTCAAGAGGGGATGGGGATTTTGTGATTTGAGACAAAATGGACGCCACAACGGGTTGACGTTCAACCATCCCTTTGTTTTGTTTTCATAAGGTGGCGACGGCACTGCTCTGCTTAAGTGCCCAGGCGCCGTTGTGGACTTGTTGAATAGAGAGTCATGCACATTGAGGGGGCGCGGTTAGGCTGCTCATTTGAGCCGTGCCCCAAATTCTGGTTGAACCCACATAAACAATAATTATTGCAGGCAGTAGACCAGTAAACCAGAATCTATAATCATCAGAGGCGGCAAACTTCTTAGGCAAGCATACGTTTGCCAATTCTTTTGAGGGATTCACCTCGCAGAAAAAGAAACGCAGACGCGAGCTTGCTTGGGTCGGCTTGGACATTTCTGTTGGTCGAAAAGCACCCCCTTGAGCTTTGCCCTGCTTTTGCTCCACAGCTCAGCAAAGTCCTCACCAGTGCCCAGCTCACTTCTTCACCAGCCCTGAGTCGCGAGAACGATTGGCAGCCAAAAAATTGTCATCCCACAAGCTTATTGCTACAGTGGCCCCAGCAGGGGTTCACCTCAAGCCTGGCTTCTGTAGATGGCGCTTTGAATGGTGCTTTTTAAAACACAATGTGGTGAACTTGATCTCGAATTAGCGGGACACCACCCAAGACAACGACTGGGTTTGTCTCAAAGTGGAGTCCCAAGGGTACTCTCACAAGGCCGGCGCAGGAGCGCCACTCTTGGGTTTGAAATTCAAGCCACGGTGAAAAGCTCAAGGGATGCATTTTGGGCCAGGCAACGCAAACCTTGAGCAGCTGCATGAGGTTGGTAGGTCCTTGAAGTTCCAGGCCAGAGCACCATGTATTTCTAAAATACCGTGTATATGTCGCTCCTGAAACGTTTTACTACTTTGCTACCAAAGAGCGCCTGCGATTACGCAATATTTCCCCGCAATCAACAGTGGCGATGATCAATTCGAGCAGCAAGCTCGTTCCCTATTCTCCCCTCAACAGGACTTTGTGTGCAAGCAAGCTCGGTTGAAAATCGAGGGACACTAGTGGCTCCAAGAAGGTACGAATCTCATATGGCTGTGGATCCAAAACCGGCACCAACATGGAACCCTGGTAAGTGGAAACATGGACCACACCCTGCGTAACCCCTCCTGTTTAATTTTGAGCCAGACCCATATATGCCAGTGGAATCCATCGATTTTTGCCAAAGGCTTCTGAGCGCCGCGCAGGTCGATGCTCGGGTGGCGGCCATCGCGGCGGGGCTGGCGCCCTTGGCAGTGCAGCAGCCGGCCCACGCCTACGACAGCGTGGTGGCGATGCTGCAGAGCCGGGGGCCAAGCCGTCGGCGTGAGGAGCTGGGGAGGCGGTGAAACTACATTTGGGGCTTTCCTCAAATGAGTTGAAGCATGGCAAACAGAATACAGGTAGAGAGCAGCAACTGGCGGCTACGCTTGAGCACGCCCAGAAAATTGCCAGTGCCATTCAAAGGGCTTGCGACTTCGGCCCAAGTCGGTGAGAAAGGTGAAAAGGTGGTTCCGCCCCAGGGAAAAGAAGCAACGGCATAACGGCCTACTTGAGATTTATGATGGCGTTTGAGAAGCAGTCTTTTTTGTTGGCGGTTCCACTTTTTGGCATTAAATCAGATTTCAGATAGTAACCTTGTCGCCAAGAAGTTGTGGATCGGGGATCTCAGCAAGAAAACGCCCAGACCGTTGAACTCAGCCCTTAGGAAGCCTTGCTCACTTTCGGCATCTTGTTCTGTGAGCTAAGGCTGGTTGGCGCCTCGGCAGGACATTTGGGCCCAGTCGGTCGAAGTCGGGGTCGCGAGTCACAGGTCCCAGGTGCCACACCATGAAAAGGCGCAGATGTGTCAGTTGAAGGAGTGCATTCGCTGATAGCTACGCCAATGGGTTAGCATCAACTTGACCTGTTGGCCCTGCGATCCCCTAGTGAGCCCATCACCATGGGTACACAGAGCGTCAAGAGAGAGAGGGAGGAGAGTGGGGTTGGGGGTTGTCTATTGGAGATGTTAACACGCGCAGAAAGTAAACAGAGAGGAAAAGGCTGATTTCATTATAGTGGTTAACAACATGTCGAAACGGGTGACATGTGCAACGTGTGCAACGAGACAGTTCTGAATGACCAGAATCCTATATCTTGGAGATGAGCGTTCTTGTTTCAGTTTTTTTTTTTGGACAGTTGTCAAGGATTCATCACTGGAGGTTTGTGACCTTTGGAAGGAGTCAACCCCAGAACTCTACGTTTGTTCATGGCCTTCCAGTTGCAGAAGTAGGTTTTCGAGTCTGTTACTCTCATTGGTTTTCAACAAAACCTCGGGATGTCCCCTCTGCTTGTTCTCTTTCTTTTGGCACGGTTCGGACTCCCGGTTTTCGGTGGTCGAAAGCACTGGATAGGTGGGCGGCATCTCCCTGGTGCTGATCTACGGCGCGGCCTTCGTGGCGGCCTTGGCCAACCCCCTCACCAAGCGCCGCATGGAGGCGATGCTCGCTCGACCCACTCGGAGGGGGAGAGGTCACGATGGGAAGGCCTTTGAACAGATGAAAGAACATGGAGGTGCTCGAGTCGGATTCGCGAAACCGGATGGATGTCACGATGCCAACTGACTGGATGCCCAACGCTTCTCTCCGAAAAAAGAAAGAAAAAGAAAAAACATAACACACACACACACACCAAAACAACACAACAACACACCAAACAACAGCACACCAAGACAACACACCAACACACACGCACCCGCAACACAACACGCAACACGCAACACGCAACACAACACACACCACACAACACACAACACACAACACACAACACGCACCACACAACACACAACACACACACACACACCACACAACACACAACACCCAACACGCAACACGCAACACGCAACACGCAACACACAACACACAACACACACGCACACACCACACAACACACAACACCCAACACGCAACACGCAACACGCAACACACACACACTTATAACACACACACACACAACACCCACACACACACACCACACACACAACACACACACACAACACACACACACAACACACACACACACACACAAAACACACACACAACACACACAACACACACGCATACAACACACAACACACAAAACACACACAACACATAGACAGCACACAACACACACACACACACACAACACACACACACATGACACACAACACACACAACCAACACACACACAACCAACACACACACACACACCACACACACACAACACACAACACACAACACACACACACATAACACACACAACACACACACACAACACACACACACACACGCACCCACACACCCACACACCCACACACACACACAGCGTGATCCTTAGGATCTTGACCCTACCCTGGGCCTTAACTCGACGGCCGCGGCTTTCAGGGGTGGCAGGGAAATCGAAGCGCACAGTTGCGGCAGATCTTACAACACGATGCTCAATTTCCTTTCGAATGTGTTGTGACACATCTTAGAAGTTGAACTTGCTGCGACACAGATGCCCCGTGGGGCCCTATTGGCTAGGCCCTTGCCTGGTCAGGTTGTCCAATCAAGGAGCACTGATCGATCGGACCCCTTTCAGTGAAATGTCCCACACCTTTTGAAAGCTCTTGAACAGAAACAACGCTCACCCTGAATCTGGCTAAAACCAATACGAATTGCTTTGGGTTGGCTGGCAGTTTATTCGAGCTGTTTTGGCCTCTTTTTCTTGTCGCAGTGCTCCCGATTCCCTACATTTCCACTTTTAAATGAGAAAACCATGAAACCTTTATGCAGGGTTCAGGGCGGAAAACGCCTCAGCGTTTTTGGCCACCCACTGCTCCGGTTCCGAACTTGTGAGGTATGCAGCCGGTCAGAAATAGCATTCACTTGTTGAAGGGGACTTGATTGAGCGGGAGCTCAAGATCAGCCCCACCACCCCTCATTTGCTTCTAGGCTGGTGGAAAGGGGCATCAAAGCGGAAGCGCAGAAACGGCTGGGGGTAACGTAGGTTCTTGACCCGGAACTGATCTCGTGCTGTGACAGGTGAAGTCCGAGGTGGATTCCATGAAGTGAGTCTCTGTCCCTGGGGCTTTGCGGGAATGCAAGCCGCAAAGCTTCATTCATCTCACCGTTTCAAGTTGAGAAGGAGCTCTGAGCTTAGGAATAACGGAGTCCAGTTGGAGACTGCGGTCGGAAATTGGACTCAGCGGGCGAGGATTTTTCGTGGGCGGCGCACGAGATGCGAGCAAAAGTTAAGAGATGCTTATGGTCACAGGCTTGGGGTGGGGAAAGCAATTATATTTTCATGTTATTTTCATTTGTGTTTTCATTTTATGTTCATTTGGGTTATCATTATATGTTCATTTGTGTTTTCATTGTATTCTCATTTTGCTGGTTGTCCTGCATTTCGGGACCCTGTAAAGCAAAACAAAACAAACATTTTATTTTCATTTCGCTGGTTTCCTGCATTTCGGGACCCTGGAAAGCAAAAATGAAAAAAACTCGGACATTTTCATGATATTTTCATTTGTGTTTTCATTTTATTGTCATTTTGCTGGTTTTCCTGCATTTCGGGACCCTGGAAAGCAAAAATGAAAAACTCGAGGACATTTTCATTATATGTTCATGTGTGTTTTCATTTTATTTTCATTTTGCTGGTTTTCCTGCATTTCGGGACCCTGGAAAGCAAAAATGAAAAAAACACATTTTATTTTCATTTTGCTGGTTTTCCTGCATTTCGGGACCCTGGAAAGCAAACATGAAAAAAGACTCGAGGACATTCTCATTATATGTTCATGTGTGTTTTCATTTTATTGTCATTTTGCTGGTTTTCCTGCATTTCGGGACCCTGGAAAGCAAAAATGAAAGAAACTCGAGGACATGTTCATTTTATTGTCATTTTGCTGGTTTTCCTGCGTTTCGGGACCCTGGAAAGCAAACATGAAAAACAACTCGAGGACATTTTCATTTTATTTTCATTTGTGTTTTCATTTTATTTTCATTTTGCTGGTTTTCCTGCATTTCGGGACCCTGGAAAGCAAAAATGAAAGAATCTCGAGGACATTTTCATTTTATTTTCATTTTGCTGGTTCTGGAACTCATTCTGGAAAGCATAACATTTCCTCGACACATGAGACATACGAAAACCCAAATGAAAATAAAACGAAAACACAAATGAAAATAGAATGAAAACACAATTGACAATAAAATGACAAAATAATTATGTTGGCGTTTAAAGGCTCTCCCCAGCTGGGAGTCTCTTAAAGCAAAAGGAGCAGAGTGACTGCAGAGGCTGTGCGAAGCCCGCAGGGCCACAGGCTTTTTTGCCCTTCTGGTGTGTTTTGTGTTTGGCACAAGCTTTTCTTTTGGTTGGTCAAGCGAAGCATTGGTTTCTTCGGCGTGTGAAGGACGGCCAAGTCCTTAGGACGGACACTGGAAAGCCATTGTGAGGGGTCCTATCACCATGGCCCATGATCCCTATGAGCATTGTTACTTGAGAATCGCAATGGCTCTTTGCCAGCAGCAAAGAGACGCCTCAAACAGATTCTGCGTGGATTTCCCTGATTTCAGGCCGACCACGGTTTGGTTCTTATGACTTCTAGCGCTGGGTGGTTTTGATTTGATAATTTGTGCTCACTCTGCATCTGGATGGTGCTGAAGGGACAAAGCTAAGCAGCCACGCCCACCATTTAAAAAAAAAGAGCGGCGGTCCCTGTTTTAATATAAGAAGCAGGCTTGGCCCTTGTACTCCTGGAAGGGCCCCTTTTAAGGCAGTTGGTTGCTTTTGGTCCCAAGTGCTAGTCCTATGGCCGAATAGCGCCTGGCTTGACACCCGGGGTCTCGTGGGCCATGGTTTTGAAACCGGACCTTCCGGCCAGGTTCTGGCGGGGGGCTGGGGCGAGCGCAGGGGCCTCAGCTAAACATGGGGGGTCTGGGGGCTAAGGCCCGTTTTGGCGTCTGGCTCGGGTTTCAGGTTGGGTGAAGATGGTGTTTTCAGGTTTCTCTTTGGATTGCGGGTTGGTTTTTGATTGGTTTCCGCCGGTTTGAGTCTGGTTCGCTTCTAGTTTGCCAGCGGAGTCCACCAATGTGCCAAGGATACGGCCAGGTTTTTTTTTTTTTTTTTTTTTTTTTTTTTTTTTTTTTTTTTTTTTTTTTTTTTTTTCGAAAATAAAGGAAGCAGAGGGATCAACTTCTGCATGCCTGTGAAAACACATACCAACGGACCTTGTTGAACAGGATTATGTGGAAAGGGAGCCTTGTTGCGGGATTGGGCTTTGAGCAATTTGCTTTTAGTGGCCAAGTGAATGGGCCTGAAGTAGGAAGGGGGACGCGAATCCCATTTTGATATCACAACAACCATGCAGAATGCTCCAACACACACCGTTCGTGGAGGTCTTCGTTGGTTTGGGGACCCTTTTGTGGAGTTCTGTGTGGGGTTTTGGGGCTTTTGGACCCATGATTTCGAATGTCCTTGGAAGCGGGAGAAGGAAGGGAATCAACAAATGTAGAGAAAAAGACAGAGCAATACATATATATATATATACACACATAAGTATATATATATATATATGAATATACACACAAGTATATATATATATATGTCACACTGCCAATTTTGCTGTTTGGTAGGGGGGGTTGTCTTGCAACCAAGTGCAGCATGTGTGCCTGCGTTCATACATTTCTTTTTCACACACCAGTTGGAGCACGAAGCTCGGCACCTTTATTCAACAAGTGAGTAAGAGTGCAGGATGTGCATTTGGCAAGGAATTTTGGAGCCAAAGCTCTTCTAACAGACTTGCCGCCAGAAACTCGGGGGCTTACTAGTTCTCCAACGGGAACAGCAGATCTTGACCAGGTGCAAAGTACTGAGACTAAAATTCTCCCTTTAAGGGGCTTTGGGTCAAACCTTTTTCCCCGGTAGGTTGAACGCGGGAAGTGAGTCGAATGCAAGGTAGGCCGGAAGACTTGATAGATTGAACATGTTTTTGAACATACTATGTAGGTTAAGTTTGGATGAGTAGGTGATGCCAAGTAGGTTCAGCATCCAAGTAGTCTATGGTCCATCCAAGCAATCCAGCAGTTAATTGTTTTGGCGCCCGCATCTAGCTTTCCTCTTTCTTTTTTGGGAGAAAACCTGAACCGCAGGCTCCGGGATTTTGGCGCGATCGGAGATCCGAAGCATCAACGGCCAGCCGGTGGTCCCTGCCGAATTTCAGGCAGGATTGGGCTGGTTTCGGGGGTAGCAAGACGGTAAGGTGGCTTCAAGGTTGCCCTGGGTTTGGCTTTAGGTGAAGCTACGGCACGTTGGACAGTGGCCGCTTCACTGCACCCATAGGTTTCTCAGCCAAAACGAGGCGCAGTTGGAGCAACGGCCGCTGAAGCTCTCCATTGCCATGGCTCGAGGCTGGGGAGGGGGGTTCTCAGCTCCGCTGGGGGCGCCCTAGTCAGGTTCCACCAAGCGCTTGGGGAGGATTTCGCCCATGGCCATGAGGCCCTGGGAGGATGAATTCTGAGAAGGGGCCTACTTGTTGACCCTCTCAAATATGATGCCTAGGGGCCCTTTCAAAGGACCTTTTTCCTGGGAAGGGATGTTCGTGGAAGGGTAGGCTTTGGGTGAGTCAGGAGCCAACTTTGGAACAGGCAGGGTTTCCCAACGGAACTCCTCTTGTGCGCCTCTTTCAGTATTTACGCTTTCTACAATTCCAGAATGGATTCACAGCGTGCATCCCGAAAACCCCGCCCAAACAACACACACACAGCCCGAAGCACCTGCACCACCCAAAATCTGCGCGATTCGCGACCTCCAACAAATTGACAGCCATGCCCCAGAAATGTTCCCTGTCAGGCAGTCTGCACACCGAGCAGACGCCTAGCGAGAAGGTGCCAAGGGTTCGGCTTTGGGTTGAGTTTCCCATCGCCTCTATGTGGTATTTCTCTCAATCGGTTTCCCTTGAAAACCGATCGACTGTTCTTTTTCTTCTAAGGCATCTGCTTCTCAAAATAGGGGAACAGTTTTCCTTTGGTTTCCCTGTAAACGCACCAAAAAAGGGGTTCCACAATTTTGAGAAACCTCCATATGTCCCCTTGTGGTGTCAAACATCACTTTTTGCTTATACAGCAAGTTTTTTTCCTTCCGCCTTACCTCGCACTCCTGAGGCGAGCGGTGCCATTGCAGAATCCCAGAAGCAGCCAAATGCATGCTGGTATACGACTATATTTGCAGGGATACCAGGGCTACCCACGTGGTTTATCTAGAGACACAGCGGGCCAAAGAGGTACACAATGGCACATGGTGGGTACATAACGGGTACAAAAGGGGCACACACACAACGGTTGCATTCTAGATTACATAGTTGCTACATAGGATCCGTAAAAAAGTCAGGTACATCATGGTACATGAGCTATATTAGGGGTGTTGTTTCTTGAGGGTACCCTTCTTGGCGCGGTTTTTCAACAAAAGGAAAACCAAAGCCAGTTTTTGGGGTACCAAATCCTATTTTCTTGCTGTTGCTTAGCAACTCAGTAGGGAATGACCCAGCTGGGACTAAACGCAGGATTCCGATGGGTTTTCTCGGGGTCATTCCCTTTCTCATTCCCTGCCTATCGAACCGATCGCAAGTTTGGAGACACACCCATGTGTAGCGTCAAGATAAAGCCACCATGAATTTGGCCGCAGGTTTTAGTCCTTGGTTCCATTTTCCTGTGGCCCCGGATGAAGAACCTCCTGTTTATGAATAAGGGGGTGTCCCTGGTTTGAGTGGAGATTTATCACTTTCAGAGGGGAACACCCCCATATTCATATAAGCAGGGGTTTCTTCATCCGGGCCCAAACTTGTTTCCAGGGGCAACCCATTTTGGGGATATCCCCTCCCCCGATTTTTGGACCCAGGGCCCGAAGCCTCCCCCCCCCCCAAGCTGAGCTCGAAGCCGAGGTGGGCCTGGCGGACCTGGCGGCGGTCCGGGCGGAGCTGGCGGCCAAGGAGAAGGAGCTGGCGCTGGCGCGCAGGGACCTGGAGCCTCGGCGGTCGGCGGGGGGAAGGGCGCGGCGGAGTTTGGGGCGTGTCTTTGGGGGAGGTTTTGCTTTTTGAGGTTTTTGCTGTTGCTTTTTGGGGAGAAGTTCCTTCTGATTGGTATACAAAGGGAAACCCAAAAAGGACTATCTACCATCTTTTTGGGGGGTCTCCCAAAGAAATGGACGCTATGTCCGAATATGTCCTGTGGGTCGGTCTGTTTGGGTGCTTCTGCTGTTGGTTGTTCTTTAAACTCATCCCAAAGGGGTGCGAAGTCCAGTTTGAGGCTCGCTCAGATGGGAATTTCTCAAATGGGAATTTCTTTTAGTAGACTAGACCACGGTTGGCCCGAAAGCAGAACATCGCAAGCGAGGTCGGCCCAACGCTGCAGGATGCGTTCTTTTTCCCTACACTTTGTGAAGCAAGCGCGAGACAGCACCAGGCAAGGTGCTCTGCGCAAACTGGTCGGTGCAAGTTGGTCTGCGCAAGTTGCTCTACGCAAGTTGCACTGTGCAAGTTGCTCTGCGCAAGTTGCTCCGCGCAAGTTGCTCCGGCAAGTTGGTCCCTGCAAGTGGCTCCCTGCAAGTTGCTCTGTGCAAATTGCGCTCCCTGCAAGTTGCTCTGTGCAAGCTGCTCTGTGCAAGTTGCTCTGTGCAAGTTGCTCTGCGTAAGTTGCTCTGCGCAAGTTGCTCTAGGCAAGGCGCTCTGCGCAAACTGGTCGGTGCAAGTTGGTCTGCGCAAGTTGCTCTGTGCAACTTGCTCTGCGCAAGTTGCTCTGCGCAAGTTGCTGCAAGTTGCTGTAAAATGCAAGTTGCATCTTGCGACGCCCGCCCGCGGACCAGGGAGGAATCGAACCCGCGACCCGCCGGTTCCGGGAGCAGGCGCGCGAACCACGAGCCCGCAGAGGGTTGCGCGAGCACCGCAGAAATCGCAAAAAACCATAGGTTTTTGCACCTCGACCACGCCGATCCCCGCAGAGGGTCGCGCGAGCACCGCAGAAATCGCAAAAAACCATGGGTTTTTGCACCTCGACCACGCCGATCCCCGCAGAGGGTCGCGCGAGCATAGAAATCGCAAAAAAACCATGGGTTTTTGCACCTCGACCACGCCGATCCCCGCAGAGGGTCGCGCCTTTAGAAATCGCAAAAAACCATGGGTTTTTGCACCTCGACCACGCCGATCCCCGCAGAGGGTCGATTTTCGTGTAGTGTCGTCGGCACTACCCCGCCGCCCTAAGAAGAGATTTTAACTCCTCGCAAGTCAATTGCACTTGACTCCTTGCACTTGCAACTTGCACTTGACTCCTTGCTTGTTTCAAGGAGTCATTGTCATTGCAAGGAGTCATTGTCAAGGAGTCATTGCAAGGAGTCATTGCAAGGAGTCATTGCAAGGAGTCATTGCAAGGAGTCATTGCAAGGAGTCATTGCAAGGAGTCATTGGAGTCATTGCAAGGAGTCATTGCAAGGAGTCATTGCAAGGAGTCATTGCAAGGAGTCATTGCAAGGAGTCATTGCAGTGCAAGGAGTCATTGTAGTAGGCGAAGTGCAAGAAGTGCAAGTTGCAAGTGCAAGGAGAGTGCAAGGCAAGTGCAAGGAGTTGCAAAGTGCAGTCAAGTGCAAGTTGCAAGTGCAAGGAGTCAAGTGCAAGTTGCAAGTGCAAGGAGTCAAGTGCAATGACTCCTTGCAACTCCTTGCAATGACTCCTTGCAATGACTCCTTGCAATGACTCCTTGCAATGACTCCTTGCAATGACTCCTTGCAATGACTCCTTGCAATGACTCCTTGCAATGACTCCTTGCAATGACTCCTTGCAATGACTCCTTGCAATGACTCCTTGCAATGACTCCTTGCAATGACTCCTTGCAATGACTCCTTGCAATGACTCCTTGCAATGACTCCTTGCAATGACTCCTTGCAATGACTCCTTGCAATGACTTTCATGATGATGATTCCTTGCAATGACACCTTGTAATGACTCTCATGAGAACAACTCAAGTGAACCCAGCGGAAGAACCCTTCGCCATGCTTTCGGGAAAAAACAGGGGAACCAAAAGGAGCCCAACCAGTTTTGGAGTCCCCACTTTTGAGAAATACCCACACGGTCTGTTTTTTGAGGGTGCCCTTGACCCCTGCGTTTTTTTCAATATATTTCGAACAGCCCATTGCTTTTTTCTTCTCGCGACTTCTGAAAGCCGAGGCCGCCGCAAACCAGGAGCTGAAGCAGCTGAAGAGCAGGCTGAGGGGTCCGGGGTTGCAGTTTGGGGGGTTAGAAAGACTTCTTGGGGCTGGGGAACCCCTGAAAAAGCCTCGATTTTGATATTTTGTGGGACATTTTGAGGATGTCACTTTGGAAGCGTCAGCTAGGTTATAGACCTCATTTACCAGCAGAACCCATCTGTTTTGCCGAAAAAGCTGAGTTCGAGTATCTCCTCCCCCCTTACACATGGAATTGGGGGATGGGGATTTCGATCCTAACCTTCCATTCATATCAAACCAGTTTCCCTTGCGGAATTCGTGCAGTGGAAATACTCCGAAAGATGGGAATTGGGAGGACCTCCACTGCCTCCTGAGGGAGTTTCGGAGGACGAGACCCACAAGACCACATGCGAGTAGCGCCCAAAGCCCCTATGGACAATATTGACAGGTGGGAGCTATTGCCTGGTGTCATGGGAATGATGGTAAGATCTAGGTAAGCCTTTATAGCCCAAAGGGGGTGTCTTTAAGGGGACCCCCCAAAATGGTGGCTGGTTGCGTTGCTCATTGTGGTTTAGGTGAAGACAGAGTGATGGGAGCATTCACGTGCCCAGGGCATTAGACAGCGGAGCTGGCCAGGACTGATGCACTGGGGCTGGTTGGGGTTTGTGGCTGTCTGGCGTATTCTGAAGCCTTTCCAACTGGAAGAAGAAGAGAAGGGGAGAAGTGAGAAGCCAGACAAAACAGAGGAAATCTGATGAGGGAGGATGGACAACGGAGAGAATGGGACAAGAGAGAGGACAAGAGCAAGAGGACGGAGGGGCGCAAGAAAAAGCAGTTCCAGTAGCTCAAGCATCACCGTGTTTTTATTTGTGTGTACGCGGCGTAGGATTTCCTCTTAGGGCAACAAATCTTTCAGAGTAAACGAAAGCCACAAAGAGAACTCACTTTGGGGCTGCTGCTTTTTGGATATTGCGATGGGTTGCGCGATGGTTCGCTGGCGCAGACGTATTTTCCCCAGTTTGGAGGATGGTGGACAAGCCCTTGGGCTGGATGAAGACTCGTGAGCAACTGGCAAGAAGATTGTTCGTCTACCGTTGGCTTTGTGAGAACATGGGGTGACAACCCCAATCCCTCGGGCAAGAAACTGGGGGACAATGAACAGTTTTCCCGCGTCCTCCGGGGAAGGAAGCAATCCTGTCCGGGGCTCACGTGTGTTTTCGCACTTGCGACGGATCAGGCTGGATCAATATCTAAAAGAAGCCCTGGTCATTTTATGGCAGCACGTTGCAATTTGTGTAAGGAACCCCATGCCCATGCTCTTTCCCTTGACTTTTGTGTCCTTTTTGAGTTCCCTTCATTTCCCCCTTTTTCCATGCAAACCAATATATTTTCTGCTTTCTGCAGCACGGTTGGTTGTGGAGGTGTTTGGGGCTTGGGACTAAGGCTGCGAACATGTCATGGGACTCAAGCACCGCACTAGGGTGTTCAAAGGCAATCCTTGATCCTTACTTTGGGTTACGCAAGGAACCGGTCCCCTTTGTGGTGGCTTCCCTATAGGGATTATGGATTAGGATTGGTCAACCCTCCATTTTGAGCAGCCCAGTTTAGGGGCTCCAAGTCTGATCCGCAGGACGTCTCGCAGGCGGAAGTGGCGGAGCTGAGGCAAAAGTTGCAGCAGCGAGAGAAGGAGAACTCCGCGGGGTGGGTGGGTTGGGTCGATTATGCTGTCTGGCTTTTGAAGGGGAAACTCAAGATAACGCATATGTCGTAGGCCCCTTATGTGTTCATGGTGATGGTTTTGTGTGATTTTCCCTCCACGACCCCGAGCTTTCCGCGCCTCGCGGCCTTCAGGACCTCGATGCTCTCAGAGTCCAGGGGGATCCCGGCCGAGGGAGCGTCCAGCAGAATGCCTCAGGGGACGAGCTGGCGAGATGTATGCAGGACGCAGCTTCGCATCCCCAAAACGAGAAAGTTGCTGGTTCGCATTTTTTTAAAATCAGGTGCCCTCGTCCGGGTGCTATCTGTTTGAAAGGGTCCAGGATTCCTTGCTTGCTGGGCCATAAGCGAAGCGGCTTCTGGGTGAGCAAGCCCAAGGAACGGCTAGCTTTCCTCAAGTCGTCGATGTCCAATGGCAAATGGGGGTTGTCCAGAAAGGGCATGCCCTTGCATTTCTGCTCTTTTGTGATCCCCCTCCCTTTGAAAGGGGACATCAAGGGGCCCAAGTAGGGTCCGAATGGCGACCCAGTCTTTTTGAAAAAGCCAAAAAATGGAGCCAACCTCCAGAGAACAAGAACTCGAACTCGGGGGTGGTTTCAGTAGGGACTGGCGAGACAGCTGCAGCTGTGCAGGAGCGCCCCGGTTCCAACAGGGGTTCCGTGGTTTTAATCATTACCTTCTTGGCCATTGGAGTCTTCCTTGCGAGGTCCCTATCTTCCTTCAAAGCTAGATTAAACATCACTTTCTGGACCATTCCTCTTGGAGGGGTGATGTTTAAGGAGAAAATATGGGGAGCCCTGTCCAACCTTTTCGCCAGCAAATGTGTTTGTGGGGGGTCGGTCAGATTTCATTGTCGACGGACTTTCTCCATTCTGTCGGCTGAATCTCAGCCAAGATGCCGCATCAACCGTGTACCTCAGCAAGAAGTCCATTTCAGAAATTGACGTCCAGGGGGTCTCTTTCCACATTGGTATGTGTCAAAATATGGGGAATCCACCAAAAACGGTTTTCTTCCTCTTCGTTTCCCTTTCAACCCAAGAAAGTGTCCCCCACAAAAACATGCACGCCCATGTGCGACAGGAGTTGGAGGAGACCAAGCAGCGCCTCAAAGAGAGCGAGGAGCGAGAACACGCGCCACGCCCGGGCACGCCGGAGTCCGGGAAGTCGGTGGAGATCAAGGCCAGCTACTGGGTGGCTTGGCTGCTTCGATTTCCGAGATCGGGTTGCCATCGATTGGAGTCAAGGGAACCACCCAAAATAAAGGGCTTGGTGGGGTGTGAGACCCGTTTTTTGTTTTTGTTTCTTTCTTCTTCTTTTTTCTGGGGAAATCATTCTTGCCATCCGCAATCCCAGGAAAAAAACAAGAAACGCCAAGGAACGCAAGCCTTTTGCCAGTCGAGGGGGAGCCGGGGGTCCAATGATCCCGATGAGATTTGAACGCCTCAGGTTCAAAAGCGACCCCCGGGTGGGTCTGGCCCATGCCATCTGAGGCGGAAGTGGAGCTCCAGGCGCTCAAGGAAGAGCTGGGGAAGAAGGACCCAGACCAAATGCCATCCACATGCCTTGGTTTTGTGGGGTCTTTCGCAAAAAATGTGGTCTTCTGTATTTTTTCTTGTGTGGAGCTTCTTGTTGGCCTGACAAAGACATGTGTTGCTGCTAATTTGGGTGACCCTCTTGTTAGTGTTTCCTGCAAAGTCGGAACCTCCGTTTGGCGCTTGCAAAAGGGCGTCCAGAAGGCAACCACGTTCTTCACGTGCCCTCTTTTCGTTTTTCGGAATCGCCCGTTTTAAGCCTCCTGCAAGGGAGATGAATTTTGGATTTCACGCCCAAGACGAGGGTTGCTCCGATGAACTATCAATGGAGAAATGGGTTTTCTTGGTTTTCTCTTCAGGGGCCAAAGTTCTATTCTTTGGTTAGTGTCTTATGGGAGCAACCCCAAGCCTGGTTGGTTTGGCAATCAATTGGAGCTCTGTCCTTCAAAGTTCCCCTTGCTTTGGGCAGATGTTTGTTCCCAACACAAAACACTTCAAGAAGGGCAGACCATGGGTTTAGGGTTTTCTTTGGTTTCCATCTACCAACTGAAACCACGTGGGCCCTGAAGGGTTTCCACCGAGGACCAGCAGCTGCAGAAGTTGCGGAAGGACGTGGCGGAGTCCTACGCCAAGCTCAAGGAGACTTTTCCCATTGACATACCGGAAAGAAGGCAAGCCAAACGCATATGAAGTACTATATATATATATATACACACACACACACACACACGTTTCTATGTGCATACCAATAGGTTCGACAACTTGGATGGATATTGTTCTGGATATGGATGCTCACGAGAGCCATCAGCTCGAGTTCTTTGGGGGACCAGCTTTTTGGTATGTTTTCCAGCTTTTTGTTGCTTGAGTTTCAATGCGGATTATGCTGGTGAGGCAGGCCGCATCCCCCGCATCCCCCGCATCCCCCGCATCCCCCGCATCCCCCGCATCCCCCGCATCCCCCGCATCAGCTTGTCTCTCCCGGACCCCTTTTCCATGTCTGTTGTTTTTGAGAGGGGCGCCGGTTACATGCCTGCAACTCTTTGCCTCGACAAAACGATTTTGGCATCACCTCTGCATCCATGACGCTGTAGCCCCTCTTTTCTGTTGTTTTTGGGAGCTGAATTGGCTCAAGTTTGATAGCGATACATATTCACACAAATGCCCGGTGCTGGATAAGGGGACATCTGGCAGGACACTGTCGTTTGGGTACTTCCCATATCCCAAGTGCACATGAATGGCAAATTCTGTAAGTGGGGAATGCAGGTATATATGGGAAGTCAAGGAAGACCCGCATATCGCTCCACAACCGAATACAGGATGACGACGGGATCTTGCGCGCCACCGTGCCGGCGCATTTCCCCGAGTTGCTCGCAGCTCAAGTTGGTTCTGGCGGATCTGTTGTTTTTCCCCATGGTTTGGCAAGCCATGTTGAGGCATTTCGAACTCCACTGGAAGCTCTTCAAGAGGGGCTTTTTGGCTTTCGTGTGCATTTCCATCAGTCGCATCCCAGGGAAATCTTGCGGGAATGTGATTTCACGTTGCCATGAATACTTGCCTCGTTTGTGTCCATTTCAACCCGAACAGGGGAAGCTTGGTATGCGTCTAAGGGTTCCCGCTCTCTCCCGGCCCCTGGTTCGGGCCAATTGCTGAAGAGAAGGCTGACGAGAAATTCCGATGCCCACCAGGTCCAACCAATGAGGACTCAAGAGGCCCCTCCCGTTGCTCCCCAAGCTGCCAGATCTTGCGGAGGTGGGGGGAATGTTCAAAGCAGCTCGAGATGGTTCGTGCATGTGGCCCGATCTTGCCGCGCGTTCTGTGATACCAATCGAGTCTCCTTAGTGACAACGTCATGGGCCACTTTGGCATCGCAGAGAAGCTATTTTCCACAACCATCAGGGCTCTTCATTTTGGCACTTAGCGCGGACGGCTTCTGAGTGGTGCGCGCACAGCGTGAGCGGTGCGGCGCAGCACTGTTCGAGTCCAGCTGCGTTGTGCAGCAACGAGGGGGGATGGGTGTAGACCCATCCGCCTTCGGAAGCATTCCACAGGCGTGGGCCCGAGATGTCCAAACTAAGTTACATGTCTGTGACAGACAGAATTGCAGCATATCGCTGCACCAACATTAACGACATCAGTCATAGTTGTAGACAGATGCACACAGAGCATGTTGCTCAAAAACAAGTCATTCCAAGTCCTGCCAAGCTGTGCGTAGGCAGGGACCAAGCGCTTTGCTACCCTGAAATGTAAAAAGTGGGAAAAGCACGGAGGTGCACCCGGGGGCTCAAGGTCTGGTGTAGGCCGCGAGGATGCTGCCAATTGTACGGTCCAGGAAGGAGCCAAGGGCAGAACTAGAACAGAACCTATCGGTCGGAAGCCGTGGTGGCCTCATGCCTAAGTGCGGCAAGCTTGCGCTTGCGTTCCATGGTTGTGCCTTGTAGTTGAAGTTGCCGGCAGCGAAAGTGCTGCCGTAGCCACAATCGAGTTGCGCAGAGTCTGTGTGAAGCGCCACCCCGTTGTTGCCACGATGTCGCCAGCAATGAGTAGGGCTCCACGACCTGATGCTCCCAGCTTCGTCAAGGAGTTCCACACGCAAGTGAGAAGACGAGTGCTTCCGCGCCGATGCAGCGAAAATCCACCAGAGCTGCAGCGAATCACTGTTCAACTGGACCTTGGAGACGAAGTCTCTGACCAGGACAGAGAGCTGTATAGACACGAGGAACCCAAGGAAAAAGCACCATCCGTGAGCAATGACGATCCCAATGCAGCACCATCCAGCGAGAGGAGGGAAACGAAACATGGCGATTTCCATGGCGTAAGTCAAAGGAGCTCCCAAACATCAGCTGACACAGGTCCACCAACTGGTAGGATTTGGGCCGAGACCTTTCATTTTGGCACTTAAAAAGGGACTTTAGAATTTTACAGTCATGAGCTTCCTTTTTGTGGGCTGATGCTGAAACGGAGCATATGATCATCCCTGGGCAAGGTTGGGCTTCCGACTCCGCGACGACGAGGTCTCCGAGGTGAAAGTGGACGGCTGGGCCGCGGCCGTGGGTTTGAAGCTGGGCCACTCGTCTCGCCGAGCAAATGGGGGGGGGGGTCAGATGAGCGGCTTCGCTGTCGGGCTTCCAGAGCGGGACTTGGATGGCCATTTTAGAACAAACCAAGAAGCAAATGCTGTTTCCAAGCACGGGCCAATTGCATTGCAGATGCCTGTGTCAACACGGACAGTTCGGGGGACATGACGCAGAAGCATAGATGATATTTCCTGGAGTGGGTTCGTGGCTCATGACCCGGAGCATCGGCAGTCCCTGGCCAAGCGTCCGGCTCGGAGCAGCGGCACCGGCGATGCGGCCCTTCACAAAGTACGATATCACTTGGGCCCATAGAGGAGCTGCATTTGGTCGGATGCTTGAAAGCGACATATGAGGAGCCCTAGGAAGTGAACACCTTGAAGCTCAGGAGCGTTTCACAGCACTGTTGCAATTTGGCTGATTTTAACGTGCTGTTGTCCTTTGTGGAAGTTGGAAGGAAGCCAAGGGTGACCGACCCGTTTAGGGGATCTCATTTGGAGGCCCCTTGCAGCCTCACACCATCCATGTAGTGCCGAGGCGACCGGCTGATGATGATTCAGAACAAGCCACTGGCGGAGCTGCGGCAGGAGCAGTTTCAGGAGGCCTTTTCCCGACATGTCATCAAACAGAAACAACTTCTTTGCCTTTCTGAAAGTCGCGGCGCCCCGCCTTTAGCCGGTTCTGGGGAGAGGGACACCTTCCTGCTTTCAAAGGGATTTGGATTTCCTTGCCTTTTACAACCTCTCTGTTTTCTCTCCTGATTCAGCATACCGTTTTTACAGCCTTTTGTTCTGCTTTTTGCCGCCTCTCCGTTTTCAGCAAGGATGGAGAGGCGCCCCGTGGCTCGCTCGCGAGGCCTGGCAGAGGCGGCCGCTGGAGCTGGGCTTCCGGCGCGCCACGCGGCAGCAGGCGCAGCAGCTGGCGTCCCGGCCCGGGCCCCGGTGGGTTGGGAAAGCGGGCGCTTCTCCGGGGGGGACGGACGTATGGGCGGGGGGGACCTCTGAAGCTATACATGTCATGAGGGGAAATGCTGAAATCAGGATTTTTCGAGTTCAAGTTGAAAGGGCACCAGCTGGAGAGTGCCTGTTGACAGAATCCCGCGTGGTTTTGGGCTTGTTTTGAAGGAGGGCAACGAGAAACCAAAGCCCTTGGCAGGATCTCCCAATCTTGCTGGTTCTCGGCTTCGCAGGGAATGAGGGCAGAAACCTGTGGGTTCCTGTCATCTCCCTCCCAACGTCTTTCTCCCGACCCCGAAAACTCGGCCACCGGCCCGGTGCAGCTCTCCGAGGAAGATCCAGGCACAGTGGAGGGGCAAAAGCGCGCGGAACAAGTCGAAGAAGGCTCAGCTGGAGAAGCAGCAGGCGACCTCAGCGCCTGCCTGGTTGTTTGAAAGATCAGTCTCCCCGCAACAATCGGCTTCCCCCCAAACCTCGGATCCTTCATGTGCGGGATGTGGTTGGTTTCCGTGTGGGCTTCCTGGCAAACACCACCCAAGAGGCGGCTCCCTGCTTTTGCTTTCTGACATTGCCGCTCGTCTTTTGGGACTTCTGATGAAAGAGCCATGGGTGAAGCGCGGGGTTCTGAGCCTAAACGCATTGACTTGCAACCATTCCACGCAAGCGGTCCAATGGAAAGCCGAGCACCGCGCACAGCGGCGTCTCCATGGAAAGCAACCCATCGCTAGATTTGAAAACGAATTGAGGTTAGGGGAAAAACCAGAGGCCTCGCGGAAAAGGCTCTTAGAGCCTGTTGACTGAAGAGGTTCTTAGGATTCTGAGAATCAGGCGGCCTGGGGGTCCCAATGTTTCTCCTGGACCGTCACGACAGTCCTCGCCCAAGCTTTGCTGCACTATTTTGGGGAAGACCCTCATGTGACCATTGCAAAGTTGATCCTTCCCAAAACGGAAACAGATGCTCGCAAAAAGAAGCCCGCCTCTCCCTTTATGGGTCCAAGTTCTAGGACATTCTAGTACCTCCTACACCCTCTTGTCAAATCCAGTGAGGCATGGCTCCTTACTTAGTCCCGTTGCCTCGCAACAGTTTGGTATGGTTCAAACTATGAGGATACAACAACAAGTAGTTTCGACCAAATTTGGACCGTGCCGGCGGTCCAAAAAGGGGAACCGGGCCTCAAAACACGCACCATGGGTTAAGGGATGGGCAAAAACGCCCCAGGAAACAGTTGGGCCCTATGAAAATTGGTTGATCAAGCATGGACTGGCGAATTTTGTCCATCTGCAGTGGTGTGCAAAATCATCCCGTTGCTTTCCCCTTTCCGAAAACCAGGTGCTGGTCCTTAAACTCACCTCTGCTTGCAATGCCGGGTTCTCCACAGCGACTGCATGCTCTGCGTGGGTGTTCCCTTCTTTGGATCTAGCCTGCTTGCGATTATTGACATGGTTTTGGGTAGACCCCATTGAGATGTTCATTGCTCAGCTGAGGCAAACCAACGCAATTCGGCGTTACGGGAGGACATTCCAAGAGAACAACAGCGACTCAAGCAAAGGCGCACCTACAGCCAGAAAAGGGCTCGGTTCCTCTTTTTTGCGGCAACACCACAAAGGACCGGCACTTGGTTCAGTCTTCCTTGGGATCCTCCAAACTGGTGTGTGTGTGTGTGTCCTCTTATGGGACATGAGTACTGTTCGCCAAACGATCCTTCAAGTGCGTGCGTGCGTGCGTGCAATTTTTAGTTTCCCCTTAGAAACCCTGAAAAACGGCCACGTGGCCAGGCGGAGTGCGAGGCGCAGGCCTTCTCGGTGACCTTGGAGGCCAGCGAGGAGGCGCCGGGCTCGACTGGGGGGCCGTCGGGGGGGGGGGGTGGCTCGGGTGACCCGAAGGGCCGAAGGTCCCAACCAGAAATGGGTGCCTTCGCCGCCCTGGGAAGTCTTTACATGGGTTTTGGGATCATTTGGGTGTTTTGGTTTTGATGACTCAAGGGAGCTTTTTGGGGGTTTGAAGCCCTGTGTTCTTGTAGAATGGGCCGTTCAGTAATTAGAATGGATAGCACCCACTTCCAAAGTAGGTTGAACATCCAAGCTGGGTACGGACCCTGTGAAACCCATGTGGTGAAATTGTCCCGACGCGTTCCATGTGAGAGGGACACCGTGGGGCTCCCCGCATTTTGCAGCAGCAGCTTGGTGAACTCTGAAACATATTTTGGTATTTGCACTAGTCACACTGAGCTCGCGCTGGGGCAAACACGAGCCCTCCCTTGCGGTGAATCCAGTAATTCGTGCCTTGCATGTATTGTCGGCGTGTTTCAAGATTAGGGTGCGATCCTTTTTTCCACCAGGTTGACCTACGAGAGCCAGGGCTTCGCTCTTTGGGACACACACACACACACAGGCACAGACACATGTATTGTGTTCATGTGTTTCATCTAATGAAGGCCCCCTGAGGTAAGGTGGGGGGGCGTGTGTTGGGTGTGGGGGGGGGGGCAGAGCAATTCGGTGAGCGCTTTGCGAGGTGGGTTTCTTCTTGGAGACGTGGCCTCCTGCGCCCAAGGTGCTGATCAAAGGCCATTGGAAGCCACCGGCGCCATGGTTCCTCTTTGTCCCGAAAGACCAATATGGCTGTTGGTCAAAACCAATGGCACCATTTCGGGGTAGGTGCACCACCCATTTTAGTCTATTTTAGTGGGGATTGGGATGTTCGCTGGGGGTACGGGATTTAGACCCAATATGGGAGATGGGACAGGGGAACCCCCCAATTCCAACCATAGGGCGCGGGAATGCGAGGGTCGATAGGTCTCAATAGTTCCTATTGAGTGGACGCCCTCGGTTTGGCCCTCGGGGCTGGGCAGTTTTGCCTTGAGGGCCTGCGACAGTGTCCGTCTGTCAACGTTTCCGCTGGCGATTGAAAGTGGACCAGGGAGCTTGACAGTGAGAAGGTTACTTGTAAGCAAGAAACCGGACACTGATACTGTGATGCCCAAAAGATCCCTCCCCTGCAGAACTCGTGATTTGGAAGGCCTCACCAAGTTCCGCACTCCAAGGGTGGTTTCCCCTGCCAGGGGTGAAGAAAGACAGCTGGGCCCAGCGGGTGGGCATCAAGGCGGGCCAGCAGCTCCTGGCCTGTCAGAAGGAGCCGATGCTTCCGGGAAACGGCGATGCAACCCCCTGGTTTTACTCGGGTCAGCTGGCTATGTGCGAACTCCTGGCTTGGGTGTGGTTGGGAGTCCAGCTGCATCGGCCTAGTTTGGTTTGGGGTTCGGGATTTTTCAGCCACTCTTGCAGAAGTGACATCCTTTTGGCTTTATTGAAAGAGGACCAGGAATTGGTTGTTTAAACATACTTGATCAAACTGTGCCCATCCTCAGATTTATCATTTTCATGCATGGACATCTTTTCCGCAAAGGCCATCCATCCCTTCTCAGCCGTATCTCTCTGGGCAAGGCACACTTTTGCCTGGGATGGGAATCCACCCCATCATTTTCATATCTACCAGAGGGTCCAACCGCGTCTCGATTCTCCTTGCCAATTGTTTTGTCCAAACACCAGCAATCCACTCCTTGCTTTTTGGATTGGAGTCAGAATTGGATTGGAGTCAGAACTCAGGGAAGTGTAGAAAAGGGGCAATCCTGGCGTTCTGAAACGATTCACTCCCCAGTTGGAACGAAGCGACGTACAGCGTGCCCCCCGCCCAACGTTGCAAGAGGGGAACAGACTGTGCACCTCACAATTGCCAGCTTGGGGTGAGTGTCAAGCAACAATTGGGTTTGTCTCAAAATAGGGTGCCCCCAAAATTGGTTTCCCTTTAAATCGCCCCATAAACCATACCCTCAAACAACGACGCACCCGAATTCTTTTCTTGGTGGTTCCCAGCCATCCCCTTAGGCCTTAGGCTTTTAGCTTTTTAGTTGGTTTAGTGGTTGGTTCCTTTCAACCCATATTAGCAGGGGATCAGTTTAGACACCCCTGGTGGTTCCCAGCCGTCCCCTTAAAGGACAGCGCCCGGCTTCTTCTCGCGTGGCGTTCCGAGCTCAGGAGCCGCTGCGGTCGCTGGAGCGGCGCACCTTCCGCGCGCAGCTCCAGCAGCGGCCGCTAGAGCTGAAGCTGTGCCCGGCGCTGCGCGCGGACGCGGAGCGCCTGGCGGCCGCGAGGATCCAAAGCGGTAAGAGGCCCAGATGGGACCCCGGAGCTTCGGGTGCTTAAAATCGACAACTTTTTTTTTCATTATATATATATATATATATATTTATCCCGTTTTCTTTTGTTTTGTTTTGTTCTTCCCTTTTGTCCGGGGTGGGGGTCCTGTTCATTTGTAGTAGGGGCTGCAAACAGAAGTTTTTTTTTTGCCACCATGCCAACGGTGGGACAGAATACCCTTAAAATGCTGGGGCTCCTTTTACGCACACCCTGTAATAATGCCGAGCAAGGGGTCACCCGGACTGGGTTCTCATAGGAATCGGCGCCCGTGAATGGGGTTCCTCGAACTAACGTGGCGCATAGCCACCCCGTGGAACCGCGCAGCCGAGGCTGGCGCAACCAGCAGCCCGGCGCACCGAGCCGAGCCGCCGCTCCGGCGAGGGAGGTGCCTGCGAGCACGGCGCCGGAGGAGCCGCGGGAGGCGTGGGTTCGCTGAGCTCGTTTGCGCAAGCCCTTCCAGTCTAGTAAATCCTGACCAGATAAATGTCAACTTGGGAATGCGCCAGGACTCACGGGGTGGATGCCCGATGTTGGGACACTCAGTGCTTGATTGTGCATAAGTTTGGTCGAAACAACCATGCAGGTCCTAGCGCCCAGGCAAACGTGTGCAGACAACAGCGGTTCCGATAGCTGACTACCTTGACTACTCCTTTGCGTTAGCAAGGCTTCTCTTGTACCGGGTGAAGGGGTGGGTGTCAATCACAAACCCTTGTTGTTTCTCACCGACCCGCCTTGGTAGCTCCCGGGTTCGCCGCTTCGCTCCTCTCTGCTCTTGGCCCCGCTCTGCTCTCCCCCACTCTTTGCTCCACACTTCTCTCAGCTCGTTTGGCCGCTTTTTTCCCCACACTCTTCGCTCCGCGTGCTTCTCTCTGAGTCTGCTTTTGTCCCCACTCTTCTCCCTCCTCCGTCGCCCCCAACAAAGGATTGCGTTTCAAGGCTATTCCACAGTCTGCCTGTTTGCGAGCTTGTTGTAGGAGCTCGTGTATGATTCACCATGGACTATTTTTACCACCTCCTCTGCCTGTTTTGCCCAGAAGCCTTTTGCCTCTTTGAGGTCTCGCTTAGCAACATGTCCAGTGCGAGCGGCCGAAATAAGATGCGTGAGTGCGCTGCATACCTTAGCCTTGCCCTAGTTTCTTTCTACCCAGTAGCCTTCTACCTTGTTGAGGCTTTGCTTTGGGAATTCGATGTGCAGCCAGGGGCCTTCAAGTAGATGCATTTATGGCCAGCAGGAGATTGAGGTGCATAGTCGACTGTTTCCACACCTTACTTCGTTGCATCATGGATCCTTTATTGCAATCTTGCTCTTTTTGGGCCGCATCGTGGGACATTTTAGTTGAGTTGCTGTGCGTGGGGTCAGCATGAGCGGCCGGAAAAGAGGTGAGGAAGAAGCTAACCGTTTCCCTACCGCAGTTTCTTCCCTCCCACCCGTTCCACCCAGTACAGCCTTCCACCTTCTTCGCGATTTTGTTTGAGGCATTCATTTCCATACCTCAGTTCTCCCCCCAGTCTCTTCTGCCCTGGTAGCTCTTTGCCCTTTTTGAGGCCTCACTCAGGGACATTCAGCAAATGCATGGCTAGACGGAGGTGCAGAAATAGGAAGCCAGAAGAAAGAGCCCCCTCCCATTTTGGGTGTCCCCTATCTGGAGACACGTGCCCGACGCCAGCTTCTCTTTCCCCATTGCGCCCACATCGCCAGGCGTTGCCACCCAATGCAGCTTCGACGGAGCTGTGGGAGGAGGTGGGAGCATCTATTGAGGAAAAAAAGGGAAAGGGAACCTGCCAGGTGCCAAATGCACTGGTTCGCTTTTCAGGTTGGTTTCCCAACACGGGGAAAAACATCCGCTCGGAAGCTTCGTTTTTTTTCTTCTTTTTCCCCAGGTGAAAGCGCGGGATGCGGAGCTGCGGCGCCTGCGAAGCGAGCTGTCGCACGCGGAGGCGGCCTTTGAGGCCAGCATCAAGGAGATCTCCCAGGCGCGAGCGCGAGGCGTTTTGCAGGGGTCGATCATTTTGACGGTTTCTTGGGGTTATCAAAGTCAGAAAATGGGTCTGTTTCCTTTTAACCCGCTTGGGGAGTGACTTTGACCATGGTAAAATAATGGGGCCAGTTTTGGGGGCCGCCTTCGTTTTTCGTCAGATCCTGCGATGCGAGATTGAGTCGCCACGGACGATGCGGGTCGATGTTTTTTTTTTTTTTTGTTTTGTTTTGTTTTAATGAGCAATTTCCAATTCTCCCCCTAGTTTTGGTGTAATCACCCAGTTTTTTTAGCAATTCACCGTAGTTTTACTGGGCAGAGCCCGCAGTTGTGAAGGATGTAGGACCCCTTCCGGATGATGGACGGAGGGGAAGGTGTTGGTTTTCTCTGCCCAGAGCTCCGAAGCGGTTCAGAGCAGTTTTGGGCTGTGGGCTTATTTTTCCCAGCCCCAAAATGGGTGTTTCTCCCAAAGTTGGGCAGCTCTGCAAGCGCTTGGCTTCTTTTCTCTTTTTCCTTGATCTATCCAGCCGTGATTTTCAACTGTGGATCATAGTCCAGATGAATCCAAAGTTACCGTTGGCCATATTCGAGCCAATGACACCAAGAGAAAGATACCTAGAAGACACCCCCCCCCAGAGCCCTGTGTCATGTTCTATGTTTGTTAGTGTTCAGATATCCTTCATTCCCGGCAATGGGAGCCATTTGGCATAATCTGCTTTCAGGAATTTGTACATGAGCAGGACATGGATCGCCATTCTGCCACAAACCGAGCTGAATCCGCCAGCTGTGCGGGGGGGGGGGGCGCTGGGGTCGAGAACTGGGCTAAATGGGTGTGAGCTTTTAAGGTTCCGAAATGGGCGGAAACGGGTCACGCAATGGGCGGATCCTTTGGTGCAGATTCGTTTGGGTTCCGAGTTCAAAATAGCCACATTTGCCAGGGCTCCTTGCAGTTCCGCCTTTTCGGGCTCGGGGCATTGCAAGGTCGAAGGTCTTCAAGCAGTCATGTGGGTTGCAAAAGGTCGGGACACGATGACCTTTGGTCTCCTTTTAAACCAACGGGGCGTGTGCGGCCCATCAGGAGTCCTCAAGCTCGGCGGTGGAGCTGGCCTCCTTGAAAGCCCAGCTGGCCGTGGAGCAGTCGAAGGCCCGCCTTTCCGCCTGGACCTCTGGGCGCCGATCCTGTGGCTGCTTTCTGTTTTGAGGGACGCGCTTTGAAGTCAACTAGAAACATCGCGTGCGCAGTCGCGCTTTTTTTTTTTGTTCTTCTTGTGGAAATCCACTAGGGGGTCTGGGGCTGTGGGGTCCTTGCCCTGATGATCTCTAGAGTGGCTGGGGGTGGCCAAGCGCGTTCCTGGGTTCTGGAGGTTCCTGTTGGGGATGCCACCTGTGTCCCCAGATCGACAGCACCAGGCGGGCAATTCTCAATCTTGTAATCTTGAAGAGCGGTGGTATCTCAAAAAACTACACGTTCCATTTTCCTTCACCCATCAGCCCATTGCCCATCGCCCATCGGCTGCCAAAGCAATTTTTGGGCACTGAGATGGCAGCACGCTTTCATCGGGACCCCCCTTTGACATGGTGCACATAACATCCGCCCATGTATTTTCTATGATCCGCGCCAGAACTCAAACACGGTTCACCCCTGGGCCGATGAGCAACACTCCTCTCGCTCGCTCGGCCAGGCGGCCAGGCTGCAGGGGGAGAGTTCCGCCAAGGCGACGAGCCTCGGCGCCAAGTTGGCCATGGAGCAGCGCAAGGCGAGCGAGTCCGTGTCTTTTAAGGTTGGTCTAAAGGGAAGCCATAAATGGGACACTTCGCCTTTTTGGAATTCCCTCTATTTTGACACCACTTTCCGTGATGCCAAAAGGATCCCCTGAGAAAGTGCTGCTAAGGATTGCCCGTTTTTGGTATCACAGAGCAACTTGCCGATCGAAAGCGACGGTGCTTTGATATCTCGAGGCGTAGCTTCAATGACAAGGATTCATTGCAGGGGTCGAGTGGACACGGCGCCAAGAATGGTGTCTGTTGAGATCGATGCATTCCCTCGGCGTTGCACCCGTTGCACCCGTTGAGTCAGGGGATTTTCCATCCTTCACGCCAGCGCGTGTGTGTGCGTGCGTGCCGAGGCTGCGGGGCTTTTGCCGCTCCAAAAATCACAAGCCCCCAGGCCACAAGTGCCAAGTGCCGGAGTTGCGCCATGTCTTTTGACTTTTGTTTTCTTCATTGGCATGTATTTGTAGCTTGCCCGCACGCAATCTCAGATTCTCAACAGGCCTATTCCGAACACTTGCTGCGCAACGTGTTCGATCCAAGCACCCTGACATGATAGCTTCGCCGGGTTTTGCAGCCAGGGACGCTGATTTATTTTCCCTTGTGGCACGCTTTTGCTGCTCGCCCAACACACCATTGTCTATCCTTGTCTTGAAAAGCATGTGCCAAACAGCATTCTAAGGCAAACAATTTTGTTGCGCAACGTGTCCATTCCAATGCACGCTCTACAGAAGGGCTGGCCGTCCAACCGATATCAGCTGGTCCGCAGAAGAAGGAAGCCAGGAGTGAAACACTGCATAGCAGCCACCACCACGGCAAACCGAGCTTGCATGGGACAGGATGCAAACCGAGCTTGCGCCTTTGCGTTCCAAGCGACACATAGCAACCCCAGACAAGTGTCCCCAACAACGCCTTTCGCTATTTTTAGCTGGGGATGCATGATTGTTCGACTGAAGCCAATTCTCGTTCCATGTGCAAATTAAAGCCACCCGCAGGCTGAGACCTTGGAGACACGGCTGATAGAGGCTGCGCCTCGGTAGCAAAGGTGGGAGGAGAGCCTGGCGATTTACGGCCAGACTTAGTGGGGAAGAGGTAAGCAAAGGGAATCAAGCTGCAACTGCAGTCCAAGACCATGTTTCTCAGAGACCATTTGGATGTCTTTCAAAAGGACTCCCTTTGTGAATGGCTTCAGGAGCTAAAATGGCATCGTGCGATATGTTTGCCATGTTCATATGTTCAAGTGCTATTTACAGTGTTCTTCCGTTGAAACCAATCGATATATATATATACACATTTACACATATATATATATATATATACAAAGATATAGTATATGTGTAAAGATATAGTATATATTCATATATGATGATATATGTATATTATATATATACATATGTATCAGCCAGACCCAAATGACCGAACTCAGCTCAAGGAGGTGATCCACCAGGAGCAGCTCAGCGAGATCACCGACTTCCTGGAGTCCCGCAAGGCGAAAAGTCGCGGGCAACCAGCGGTGTGTTTTCGGTTGTTCGGCGGCCCCCCCTCGAAAGGGGGCGGCGGAACAAAAGACACCTGTAGTTTTTTTTTCAATATAATGGCGATTTGAAGTTATGGATATCTGGGAGCCTTACAACCTATTTTTGTTGACAGAGGTCGGAGTTTACGAATTGGAGCGGCGAAAATTGAAAAGTGGTTGCGGAGGGGTCAACAATTTGACGCGCCGTAGTGGCCGTATTGGACGAAGCGTTGGATGGTTTCCAACGTTTCAAGCCGCGGGAGGTCTGGGTTTGGTCGTATCCGCCTGAAAGGAGCTGCTGGGTGGAGCCCCCCTGCGCCTTGCGGCGAACGCCAGGCCCAAGGTGCGGCGGTCAAGTGGGGCTGTGGCTGTGAAGCGAGCGTGGCGCAGGTTTCTTGAAGTGCAACCTGCGGAGTTGTTCAGGGGAATCATGGAGTGGGTTGCACAGTGAAACCTCATACTTGTGATCTTTTGTGTTCCCTCGGCGTGGTCCGCCTGGTCGTATCTGCACAGACTCAAGCAGCATGTTGACTGGTCCTTTTGCAGCAAGACCAGACCGCCAAGGGAGATGTTGTATAGTGCTCTCTCTGAATCTCTACCCCCTGAGAATTGCCTTGCAACTTAAGTTGCCTCAAGCAGTTTCCGGCATTTCCCAAATGGATCCTGCAGAAGTCCACGTGAGTGGCCTGCGGGCCATTTGGACTTACTGGTTGGCTGGCTCTCATGTAGGTATGCCGCGTTTTGGACAACCCCCTTTTGGTTGGTTTTACAGCAAAGCCAACTGGGCAGCCGTTGGCACCGTTTTTCCAAATCGCGCGGGCCGAGTTTCTGTTTGAATCCATTGCCGCCATTCGTTCCACTAGTATGGCGAGCTTAGGAGGACGTCCTTTTGCTTGTGGATCCCTGAAGGAGAGTTGATGAGATACATAGTCATTCTTGCTGATGGACGTTGTTTCCTTTCTTCTTCCAGAAGACCCATTCAACACATGAGCTGGCTGGTCTTTGAACCTTATCCCCTCAAAACTTTCGGAAGCTCCGAATCAGCCCAGAACAAACAAAGGCCCCCCCATGAAGCAGCCTCTGTAAGCCCTGAAATTATTGTGTGTTGGGGGCACAGGTCACCCCCAGGATTCGGAAGCTTTAGGCATCAGTTGGATTAGTTTCCGGCCAGTCGTCCCAAATGATCACGAGCTCACCGAACCGGGACATACGACCACACCGGTGTGGTAGGGTTCCGATTTTTCTCAGTTGGTATCGTAATTTGAAGTTCGCCAGACTAAGCCAGAAAGTGTCGGTTTGAACAAGCTCTTTGATCTCTGGGGTCCTTCTCAACCAGCAAATCCAAGCCGACTCGCCACGCGCCGAAACCGAAGCCCCGAGCGAAGCGAAGCCGCGGAGCAGGAGCTCGAGGAGCTCCGCGCGCGGCTGGCGGAGGAAGAGGCCCGGGCGCGGGGCCCAGCGAGAGCCGAGGGGGTGCCAACTGGTGAGGGCAAAACCCCCCAAAACATGGTTGTTGGGAAACATGTTGCATTTTTTCTTATTATGGTTTAGTGGGAAATCCCCACTTAACTGCTAAAATTTAGAATTTTCAGAAAACGCCAAGCTTCCGGCTCCATGGATGGAGTTCGAATGGACCCCAGACTTTGAGGACGGGCATCCAGATTTCCAAACCTTGATCCTCCCCTTTTTGCTGTTCTTTGGAGAAGCCAGAGTGCTCTTGGTGGTTGAAGCCGGTTCATCCCTCCGGCTTTGGCGCCTAACAAAATCCAAAATTCCAAAATTCCATGTCTCACACCCCAAGTTGACCGTTCTTATTTCTTGGTGTGCGAAGAATCCCCGTGTCTTTCCCGCACGAAATCCCAACGAAGCCATGGCCAACCGCTTTCGCCATAGGTCAGCCACCGGGCGTCGGACTCTAAGGTGGGCGCGGCAGAGAAGACGCTCGTGAGCAGCTGGTCTGAGCAGCGCACCTTGGCGCGTTAGGGGCGATTTGTGGCGCGGTTGAAGGGAACCAAATCCCCCGCCAGGAACGGAAACCAAAAGGAAGCCAGTGTCTGGTTTTGAGGGGCGTTTGGCTGCTAAAGCGTAACCCCTTTGAAGGGGTAAGGCGGGGTACAATGAAGGTTGTTCACAACATCACCATGTTGACATGCAAGAATACACACACACACAGAAGTGGTTATGGTAGTCGGAACCCGTCAACCGTGTTTGGTGAACATGAGTCTCAATCTAGCGAATCCCTAGAAGGGCAGAATTTATGACCATACGTGTGTCTTTCTAGGAAAAATCGGGACCGTCCCGTTGGATGGTTTTCAGGGGAACCAACAACTAGGTCCCCCAGTAGTGCCCTTTTACCGTTTCTTTTTCGGTTGGGAGGGTTCCGAACCCTACTAAAATAGACAAAGCTGAAGAAAGTTGGTACCAACTTATTCTAACCTCTGGAGGACCTAGACAAGCCTCCGAAGCCTTCGAAGCCTCCGAAGCCTCCGAAGCAGACCGAGGCGCCATGGACCTGCAGTGGCAGGCCGAGCTGCAGGCGAGGGACCAGCGCCTGGAGATGGCCCAGAAGGAGCTTGCAAATGAAGTTTTTGGGCTATCTCCAAAGAAGAAAATCAGGGCTCTCTTCTGAAGTTGTTTTTTCCTCAAAGAGGGAAATTGTGTTTTCCCCCCCCACAAGAAGAAAATCGTGTGTCTTTTTTGGTGTGTGCTTCTCAAAGAAGAAAATCAGGTTTTCTACATCAGGCCCAGCTGAACTTGACGCCGATCCTTGTGTCAGCTGTAGCTGACCAAATGATGTTGGCAATGCTGGTGATGTTGCCTCTTTGCAAAAGCAAACACCTCCCCACTGAGGCCGCATTAAAAAACACGAGCGAAAAGATCCAAACAAACATTTATCAAAGTGGGAACGTTTTCCCCTTTTTTCCGCGGGGTTTTGGCCAGCTGGCCTTTTTTCCAGCAAACCTTTTTTCCAGCAAAGGTTTGGCCAGCCGAGTTTGGGCCCAAACAAAGATCCTTTCAGCTGCTCCGGCAGGAGCTGGCCAAGGCGGAGTGGTGGGCCTCCATCGCCACCCGTGCCCCAGGCTCCCAGGAGACGAGTGAGTCCCTTTCGGGGGCCCGGGCGCACGGTGATGGAGACAAAGGTGGTTGAAAGGATGGGAATTTTTAGCCATGTTGAAATGAAAGGGTTGGTGCAATTTCTGATTCCGCTTTCCTGGAGTTCATCCTTTGGCAGATAGAGACTTTTAGGGCCAATCTGCCAGTAAGTGGTGACCATTTTGCCAAAACGAGCAAATGAGCAAAGTACCTCTCCCAACAACTAACACGGCATCCACAAGGTCCCCCCTAGCAGTGTCCGACCATCAGCCCAGGGACTTATGAATGTTTGTTTCCTTTTGGTGCCACATGACACCAACTCAGCACCACCCTCCATCGCTTTTCCCGATTTTTCTGTGCGACCGCCCCGACAGTGTTTGAGGGTTTCAGGCCGGGCCCACTTGATGTTCGCCACTGCCCAGCCAGCGCTGCCACACCACATGGAAATGCGCCAGAGGGACCCTGTTGGATTCAATTGGTAAGAGCACACGATGAACATCTGGCTGTGGGTCAAAACCAATGGTGGGGTAGGTGCACCACCCATTTTAGTCTATTTTAGTGGGGATTGGGATGTTCACTGGCGGTACGGGCTTTGACCCATGGCCATCCAAACAGGGCCACATGTGTGTTTTGCAGATTCTATTTCTTTTCTCCAAGGAACAACACAAACACACACGCACACATAAGGACAGGTGAGCTGGTGACATGACAGGAGCTGATGGATTTGAAGGACGAGCTCACGGCCGCAGAAGACCATGCACTTCAGCTTGAGAGGAGCCCGAGCGGATCGATGGTTACGACATGGGAAGTGCACAGCCCTTTGGGAAGAATCTTATCCTCTTGGAAAGGAAATCTGATTTCTATGGGGAGCCTAGAGGGTACCTGCCCATTTGGTTTTAAGAGGAACTGGAAAGATAGCCACCCAAATCGCCACTTAGGAGAAGATGAACTATGACATGTTGCCCATGTTCTGGAGGAGAGATGCTCACTCCACAAGTGTGCTGTATTCATGACGCACGCAGTCCAATTTGTTTTCCTCCTGAGCAAGAGAGTTTTTTCCAGTGCTGGGGGATGGTTTGCTTCTCCTGAAAGTGGGCTGAGTCTGCGAAAGGATGGGTCTGTGCGCTTTTTGAGGATGTCCTTTCTGGCCTGCTTTTGAAGGGAAGCCCAAAGGAAAGTCAACTACCTGTTGCAGGAATCCACATCCTATGTCGAGACGGTCCCATTTCCTGGTGTTGCCATGCGGAAATTCATGATCAGGCGTCTAACCAGAAGTCGCTGTGGACATTGTTGTTCCTTCTCGTTTCTTTTCAACAGAGGCCTGCTAAAAGGTCCTTGATCCTTTGCAGCCTGCTCCCTCGGCACTTTTGACCGCGAGGCTGCAAAGGCCAAAGGCAGGTGGAGCAAAAAGCTATCTCATCAAGCCACTTACTTGCACTGGGTTTGTTTGACGGTGAGGCATTTATAAAGGGTTTTAATTGCCCACCTTTGAGACTGAAGGAAAGAAGACAATGACAGTGGCACCAAGAGGCACCAAGAGGCGCCAACAGGCAGGCCAGCCAGCAAATGGTCGCAACCCACTTGGCCAAGAAATCTTCATGGAAACACCCTTCAAGGCGTCCTCGTTTCTGAAGCGTATGCACTTAGGCCCAGAATCGGGGAAGCCAAAATGGGTGCCTGGATCGCCAGTTTTTTCTTCTTCTTCTTCTTCTTCTTCTTCTTCTTCCTTTTTTGTTTTTTTTTCACTTTACCCCAAAAACCAGCAACAGTGACTGAAAAAGGCAGCCAATTGGCCATCTAGGTGGTTTCCCTTTGGTTTCCCAAACTAAGCCACCCCCCAAAAACGGGTCTCTTGAGCTGCCTCTTGGGCCTCAGGAGGCTTGCCGAGGCCCAGGCGAGGATGGGGTTGGGGGGGTGGGTAATCTGCCGGGGTGCATGTTGATCTGCCGGGCTTGGCTATTCCCCTTCTTGGATACCCGTTTTCCGAAAAGGGAGAGGAGGCCGTTTCAAGATTCCGAAAAAGGAAGTGGAGAGGGGGGGAAATTCAAGATGATCCCAGCCTTCCAGCACAACAGAGCCATAGGGGACCTGAACAAACACACGGGAGCGATCCTGTAGAAATGGGCCACAGTTGGCGTAGCTTGTGCCTTGTGCTATGGCAATTTGGAGCTCACCCTGCGTTGGTGTCTTGGTGCGCTCCATGTGGGCCGTTTACAAACCCGTGGGGCGCAGAGGACGCGGTTGCGGTGTAATTAGCCCGCAAAGCACGCTGAACTGTTGTTTGTTGTTTTCCCCATCCATTTGTGTGGTCTTATGAGTGGAATTCTGGCATTTTACATTCTCTTTTCCGGTTGTCCGGGTTTGATGGCCAGCAAGTCTTGCCGGAGATCAGCAGGGAGGAAATTTATTTCATTTCGAACTCTTATGGTCGCCCTTTAGCCCCCAATGAGGCTTAACCGGATCCGTTGTAGGCCTTGACAACCTTAGAATGAAGGGGCTTGATTTTAGGGCTCGAGAATACAAGGTGGCTGCTCCAAGGCACGCAGTGCCGATGTGATACACGACCCAAGCAGCGCCAAAAAGCGTAAATCAACACTGTTAGGGGGGACCATACAATTGTCCAACACCTTTGGTCCTCTACAAAGGACCCTTGTAGCAGTGGAGGAGGATGTTCCCCAGGTCCTCTCCCTCAGCCAGGATAGCAAGCGGCTGATGCAAGAAGCCGAAGCACTGCAGGTGGCCATCGATCAGTTTTGGTGCTTCTGGGTGTTGACCAATTTATTTGGCAGATTCATGGGGGGCACGTGTGTGTTTTGGGCTAAAGAGGCTTGTTATTTCCGGCTTCCGAATTGTTGTATCTCACCCAGACAGGTGTGTGACTCTTTCTTGGAGCCCGTGTTTTGGAGCAAGAGAAAACCGGGCAAACCAGTTTCTGGGTCCTTTTTGGAGACAACCTTGGCACGTGGGAAGATCAACTTTAGTGGGGGGCAGGTAGACCTAAGCGCTCATTGGTGTGGATGTCTGCCACTTCATGTTGACCCTTTCCCATGGGTTTTGGGTAGACTTCCTTCATGCCTGGGCTTGATCCCGACTGAACATGAATTAAAGCACTCGCCGCCATTTCTCCCTCATAGACCACCATGGCTGCGCTTGGGGCGAGTCGACCTTGGGAACATGTTGAGTTTCCCACTTTCAATGTCAGTAATGCTGGTCGCAAAGTTTAGGTGAGAATTTCTGGACGTGGTTTCGTGGATCGACGAACTGAGCCGTTTGTGCTACTTTCGGTGAATTGATAGAGGATTGAAGCTTACGGATCCAGCAACCACTCCCATTCATTCTAGGGAACCACCTGGACCCTACAGCCAAAAGGTCATGTTCTCCGGTGTGGTGACTGGGAACAACTGGGACTTGGATGCATGTCGGTGCCTTGGGCACCAGCTGCGAAGGTCCATGAGGCAAAACGCACAACACTCACCGGGGTTGGGGCAAGTATTTCAACTGGGGCATCCTGAAAGACCACGTTCCTCTAAGAGCCTGTGGCTCCGACGCAGGCAAAGCACTCGGGACGCAAACCAAATGGACAAAGGACCCTTGAACAGTGGTTTGTGCCTGGCGATGCGACCTTCGGTTGATTGCTCCTCAAGGAGCCGATTCTTTTTTTCTTTTCAGACCCAAGTGGATCCCAGTCACTACTTTAGGCAAGCCAGCATTTCCTCTTGGGCGGTTCTCTCAGTGACCTATACTGGTCAATGGAAGCACTGGGCCTCTGTCCAGGCGGCGTTGAACACCGAGGAGGCCGGGCTCTGATCGAAGATGTTCGCGGCTGTCTTGGACCTCCCAGAGCGTCATGCGCCCTTTGAAGGTGTTTTCGGAGCACTAGGGTCCCTTCTTTCTCTTTTCGGTTGCTCATGTTTAGATGAGTTTCCGTTGGAGTGCTGTTTGAAGCGAACCATGTATATAATGGAATCTCAGGGTTTCAGACCCATCCGAAGGGACACTTGGGTAGAAGATTTGTAGCAGAGGTCTGGTTCCAAGAAGACAGCGGGAAAGCTGCTCAATTTTGCTACTCGCCAGAGGTGTCCAGGATACTGGCCTTGTGCTTGCCACTCGGGCTGATTTCGTCGCGCAGGCCCGGCTCCTTCACGTGCAGGTGGCCTTGACGGAGGCGCCGGGCTCAGCAGGTGGAGTGGCTTCTAAGCGACTCGGGCAGAAGGCCCATGCGCAGCGGTTCCATTTACCAGTATAGAAGAAAACCAAGTAGACAGCCGAGGGGAACTACCCTACAACCAGAAGCACAAGCATGGTTTGGTCTAGAGGTGACTGGGATCCGACGGGATGTTCAAGGTTGGTTTCTTGGCTCAGATCAAGGGCGCCGGCAAAAGAAGCTGCGACCCCCAAAGTCCCCAAGGTTGGGGCTGGACCTCTTCGAGTTTCCGGAAGGCTTCTGCACCTTCCAAGGGCAAGGGCCACCAAATGGTTCGCTGATTTGGAGGATTTGGTTGGGAACAAGCCTCATCTTGTTGTCCTTCTTCTGCCAGTTTGGTTTCCTGGTTTTTCCCGAGACTTGGCCGGAATGAACTGGCCGGAGATCTCCCGAGCGCGCAAAACGAATTGATGTTTGTGCTTGGCCCCGATTTCGAGCCCCGGCGGACCGGCTTCGAACGCCAAATGAAAGGAGCGCCAATCAAGTTCTGGACAGGTCTTCGAGACTTGTCGGCTTGACGGCTTGCGACTGGTCTTGACCTGCTCAGAACCGCAGGTCCGAAGGTGGCCCCATCGACTCCGGACTGGCAAATACATTAGCGAGCGTTGAACACTGGGCCCGGAAATCCTGCCAGCTGTCTCTCCGGACCTGGACATGGGTTTGATTTTCAAACTAATCGCTGGGTTTCGGTTCCTGGGGTGGAGCAAGAAGTGCACCCCCCCCCCCGCCCCTTTTTAAGGTCTTTTGACTGGGTCCACACGTGCCGAGTGGCCTTCGGCCGTATCAAAGGACCATACCGAGACGAGTCCCTCAGCAGCATTCCCCAAATCGCGGCAAAGAACCGGTATGGTCCTTTGGGTTCATCTGAGTTGCGGCATTTGAGAGTCTCTTTGTTTCAATCTTGCCGACCAGATAGCTGATAGGCGCAGATCAAGAATGACCTCTCCATGGCCGCCGCAACGCAGATCCAGGTGGGTTACCCGGGAAAGTTCAAGTGAAGGTGGGCTACTGGGCGGTGTGGACACTTGCCGAGTTGCCCAGTGGCGCCCTTCTTTCCTTTTTCAGGAAAGGCTCCCCTTTAAACTCAACCAACCAAAAAAAGGATGCCCTCTTTTTCCCATTTTTCCCATGGCCACTGGGCATCTGAGCTTGGGATCCGTTTCGCAAGCCGACGCTGCAAACTGGTGATGGATGTACATGGTAGGCATTGATGGCCAGGCGGAGGCCGCGGTGGAGGCTGGGCCTGTCGGACCTGCCTGTGCGGGTGGGGTCAAAAAGAGGAAGTCGCGTTTGTTTCCCGGCGGGTTTGCACAGAAAGCCCAGCCAAAAGGGTTCCCCCAAAACCGACACACCCAGCTGGTTTCTGTTTGCATCTGCGGGCAGAGCTTCGGTTTTTGGAACGCGACTTGGACCTGTTCGCGGTGTACTCCATGATATCTTTCCGTTTACTTTTGAGGATTGCGTCAGCGCTTTAAAACGCAAAGACGCTGGCAAGATTGCTGCCTCCCCAAAATA